ATCCCTTCACTGTAGCATCAGTGCCTGCGTCCAGGACGTTGAACAATACATACATTGTCCTTGATCCGTAACTCGAATAGGGTTAGTGCATCGCGTGGGAGAGAGGACGTAAGTGGAACTAGTCCTAAAATACCATAGTGGCTTGGCATGGCCTCTTGTCGCTCAGAGCGTTCTCACGTCTTGTCTGAATAAGTCCTATCGTGGCACTCATTGTTCAGTGAAATGACTGCCGCCTTTCGACCGAGACAGATCTTGAGAGGGCATAAAGCTTGCTACACCCTGACCAAGGAGCTCCAAGATACAGTTTGGCTTGCAACGTACGGCAATTCCGTTCCAAATAGCTAATTACGAAGATGCTAACATGTCCAGCAACCCGAACAAGCAGCCGGTGATAATAAAGGCCGTGCAGCATTTTCGGCTGGAGAACGAGTGAGACGCTCTCAAGCGCTTTCAAGGCCAGACTCCCTTTATTCGCCCGTTGCTTGATGAGATTGTCGACCCACCAGACCCGCCAGCTATCATTCTTAGGCATTTAGATAACCATCTTTTGAATCCCTCTAATTCACGGACACTCACATCCCGTGAGATCAAATACGTCGCCAGGAGGATTCTAGAAGCTCTTAAATTACTTCATGGAGAGGGATTTGTCCACACGGGTAATCACCTTAGGAACCTTCTCTTTTATGAGGATTCGTGAGATTTGAAGAACCAATCTAAAGCGGTCCGTGTTTTAGATGTCAAACCTGACAATGTGCTTGTCAACTACGGCTCTGGAAATGGAGATATCCGCTTCTCGGATGTTCAACTGGCAGACATGGGAGCCACTCTCCCTGCCGATTCGTCATATGCGAAGGATGGTGTCATGATTGGAGCTCCGAGATATGGCGCAGCCCGGAAGCCCATTTGCAGATAGGATGGAGTACTGCTACTAATATATGGTCGTTCGGAGCATTAGTATGCAGATCGTCACGTATAGCCACCTTTTTTAAAGGCAATAACCGGAACTAACTTGCCTTCTTCGCTGACTTCCAGATCCTGGCTCTGATCTATGGCGATAATTTCTTCATCTTCTGCCCTGATGTCTCATTTGATCATGAAGAGTACTTGCTCAGAATTTTTTTTTTTAACTAGGCAATGTTCATTCTTCGGACCGTTCCCTCTATCCTACCAAGAAATCGCTGGCGAGGAGACCTTGGCGATCTTGGCATATATTCACGAGTCACTTCCCCCAGAAAAACAGAAGCCATTCACGCGACTTTCCGCCAAGGAGGTGTCGGCAGAAGATAGAGATTTTCTTCTCAAAGTCATGAAAATGGATCCTAGGGATAAGCCAACTGCCGCGGAACTACTGGAGGATGATTGGTTCCGTGGTAACTAAACAAATGTGTTTTCATATTCTTTGAAAAACACATGCGAGGCGTATGCATCTCTTAAAGATGCGCTTAGAGTTACGGAGTTGTCAATCACATATCCTTCCACGAGTTTGTAATTCAGGCAAACTCAAGCATCCATTCCACAGAACCTGGGATTTAGAAATAAGGTAATTTTGCAAGGCTGATCACAGTTTGTTATTGGGTATTTTCACTGAGAGGCTCTAACAAGGGTTTGTTTGCATCCTTACTTGGTCAAAATTGTGACTTTGGGGGCGAGCGTGACTATGCATATTGATTTGTCTAGCCATCTCTATCGATGCGAGAGATCTGAGAACCCTTCGGGGCTCCAATGTATTTAATTGGAACTGTTTGAAACCAGCCTCAGACCTCTCTTTTGTGGCTACATGAGTGAATGACCTACAACAGGCTCGAACGCCTCCAGGGAAAGCTCTGTATGGCTCTGCACAGATTGGGCACGTTCCCGCGAGTAGTGCGCGGGGTGGCAAAGCTATAAGGAGCACCAACTCCCTCAGGAAGCACTTCCTAAAAATAATTCATTTATTGAAGCTTGCTCTAGTTATTTTCAACAGGGCCGCAACTTTGCCTCTACTTCAATCATAAGCCACGTAGCCTAGACCAACATATGTACGTCTTACAACAAGGTCATTTCCAAGAATGCGGTGGACTCGTTCGCGAGAGATGGGGTGAATATTACCATCTCCGTGGCCGCAAAGACGTCGCTTTGGGAGCGTCCCAATCCAGCTGTTGATACAGTAGCGAAAAATATTTTTCTGCTTCACTGAAATCTTTCACGGGAACATTGCCTGAGGGCACGGCAGACGTTTGCGCAAGGTTATAACCATGACCCATTTCTTCTTTCTATAGCTGACACCTAACGAGCGGCGACAAGAGAAACCATTTCACAGCCGTGCTGGCGGATTATTAAACGAGAAGGGCCCCTCCCATTAGGGAGTGCTTTCTGTTGACTGAAATTGCATTGTATCTTTGGATATTGGGTGTGTTAAGGAAATGCCTGGGTAGGCCCTCGTAGTCGGCTCCGTTCATTGACAGTTTCCCTGATGGGGTAGTACCTACACATATAAGCTGCACGCTGCTCTGGCAAGAAGAAGGGTAATAACAATAAGACTCTCAGGCTCCTATTTTCTGGAGAATTCTTGACTCTTCCATCTATATACAAAGAGTGAGGGAGAATCAGAGGTTATAATCCCGTAGGAGGTTGTCAGAGCTCAGCCGGCAAACCTTCTAACTAGGCTAGTAGCACGCGGTTGGATAACCCCATTTCATTCCAGAATGCAATTGAAATCGTAACGTCTTACAAGATTTTTACACTTCGCCGAGAAAAGGCGTAGCTGCTCCAGTCACTTGAATGGGCCATCATCTCCACGCTGTATGCTCTTCTTGATCTTCTCTGGCAGATCATAGCCCTGAGTGTAGGGAATTCTACACCTGGAACATGGACAGTTCTTGTGTTGGTGGGTCTGGCGAGGTTGTTTGTCCCTCATCTCCTTCACATAACGATCAGAGAGGGGGAGGTGTCACAACCGCAACCATGGGCTCTACGCGCTCGGACTGGGGCTGATCATGTCTTCTGGAGAGGGCTCAGTTTCGAAACACCTCGGTCGCATCTGCATCGCCCGCCTTCGCGTCGTGGTGGTCAGATACAGGAGAAATAGATGTAGCACGACTGGAACTCGTTCCACGACTGGAAGATTTACAGATCCCATCCACACTCCGGCCGCCGTGGCTTCGCACCTGAGTCCGACACCCCCTCCGACCCACCATCACTAATGGGGACTCTGGGCTGATGAGAGAGATCTACTGCAGTGGTATTATTGATGAGCAGTTCTGGGACTATTGCAGCCTTGACCTCTTGCTCCTGTTCCCTGCGAGATGGTCTACGGGGAATCAGCCAAAGATGCTCCTAAGCCTAGAGAAATCAGAGTTAAAAACCTACCGCTGGGACTGCCAGCTGTATCATTAGAGTGCCGGCTCCGGACTTCCGCATGTATTTCATCGGCAAGGGCGATGCCATCCTTCAGCCCAATGGCCGGTGTAGTAAGCCTGCGAAGCTCAATATCAACAATATTTTCTGAAGCGCTGGCCTCTTATAAAGTCGCGGCGGATGACGTCAGTCATCGTGGGGCGGCAAGGCTCAACAACCTTATATAGAAGCATCATCTGTGAAGGGAGAAAAACGACAAAAAATTGCTCAACTCACTCTCACTCTGCACGTTGAATTAATCAGCAGACTGGTTCCAGGACCTTTCTGTCAAGGACCTATGAAAACCCTACACCGCGCATCAGGTATCATTATTAATGTCCTCATCACGGTCGCAAACCTGCAACGCCGCGTTAGGATATCCTCCAATAACGTTTGAATGACACTGGGGGAGCCCAAAATCTGCATAGGGCGGAAGCTAAATGGAGAAACCTTCCACGTCCCGATTGCGAAATCGGCGCGGTTGGGCACAAGCCCTTTCTCAATACTGCTACGATCTCCTCCTTTTGTTGGCACGCCCTTTACATGATCCGGATTTCTGTATACGGGTTAGATCAACGCCTTTGGCGAATTGATCAGATGCCGTGTGATAGCAACCGTCCACTGATGCATTCTGCGTATGGAGTGCATGTCTTAAAATTCAATGGCGTCGTTCACGAGTTGCGATTAATAATTCTGGGGATAGAATGTTGGGGGGATTGGATTGGGTGATTCGTACCCTCTATGCCACCATGGCGCTGGTGGTGATTGAGCTCTTTTGCCCTAGTGGCCTAATATAGAACGCTTCAGAGTGGCTTCTCTGACTAATCCAATGATTCGGTAATTGATGGCCCTGTGGACTATCAATTTTAGGTTCTGCAGGCCGAAGATACGAGACGCTTAGACGAAAAAGGAAGAGGGAAGAGAGATACGATTGACATGGATGTCATAGCCATCTGCTATTATTACCTGTGCCGTCAGAGGACAATATCTCTGCTACAATAAAAACGGTGGAAACAAGCCTGTGGGGAGGCCGTCGAAGTGTCGCTTTGGTGGTATTCTCTTTCGCTCGTCATACCCTGGCGGGGTAGGTCCAGTGTTCCTGAAAAAGTCCATCATCAATCGGCACTTCGGCTGGTCAACTGTGGAGTCTCGAGCCAAAACTGTTCTTGGCTTGCTAAACGATGGGCGGATTGAGTTGAGCTCTCTAGCGACATGTACATGTACGAAGCTAGTCCGATGACTCAGGATATCTCCTATATTCCAGACTGTCCTCCATCCTATCCATGACGCACACGCCCTGCGGTGTCATTTTGTGGGCCTGGATGACAGATGAGTGAGTAGCAAAAGAGTAGTTATTCCCTTTAGGCGGTGTCCGGATCTATAAGAGACGTGGAAGAGCTCGCTCCTTTGACATGTTTTGATAGCACAGATTCTAGAGTAAATTTTCATCAATTATCATATATCAAGCTACGTTTCCCCCCTGTAGCTCTCCGAATTGTGTCTCAATTCTTTACCTTAATCTATTTTGTGCTGTATCCAACTTTCTCCTGTACCGCAAGGGCCTGCCGTGCCCACTCCAGCTTGATTGAGATACAGGTGGTACATGTATGATGGCTGTCTCAATTATGAACCGCAACTTTAATGCCTCCTCCCCGCGCTCGAAACCCGTGGTGAGAATTTCTCTCAAGGATCAACAGGCATCCCCAGTCAATTCATACACAACTCTTGACAAAATCGACGGAGAAGTTAGTATCAGATCTGATTATGATGTTTCCTTTGAGAAACTGTCAATCACTTTTGAAGGTAGAACAAAATCCGGACCCAAACCATGTAAAGGGCCTTGGGAACATTGCTAAGCCCGATCCAATAGGCACCTCTAGAACTATCATAGAATCACCTGGGGTTTCAGGACCCGCCATTGGCCGGTATTCCGCGTTCCACACGTTTTTGCGCCTTGCGCAGCCAATTGATGAAGAACAATATCCTCAGTACCGAATTTTCGAGGCTGGTCGAACATACACATTCCCTTTTACTTTTGTTGTCCCTGAGCAATTACTCCCCAGTTCATGCAATCATAAACACAACCATCCTCAAGTCCACGCGGCACACACCCTTTTGCCACCATCACTCGGTGATCCAACGATATCAGGGAACGGCGGCACGATTTTGGATGATATGGCTCCGCTGATTACGCAAATTCAGTATGCGGTCAGGGCCCAGGTGTTTAAAAAGTGTCCGGCGGATGATTCCTTCAAAGTGATGGTGGACGCCAAAGAGAAAGTTCGTTTCATTCCGGCCGTGGATCAGGCTCCTCCGCTGAGCGTTCCGGACGATAGCGAGGAGTACCAAATGCGGAAAGAAAAGGACGTGAGGAAGGGCTCCCTTAGGGGCAAGATAGGCCGAATTGTTATGGCTGCAGCTCAACCAAAAGCGATCCCCGTCCCAGCATCACCTACTTCAACTCAATCGGTAGAGGATGTTCCCAGCACTATGGTGACAGTCCACCTTCGATTCGACCCCACAAATGAGGAGCAACAACCACCTCGCCTTGGTAGGATATGGACAAGGCTAAAGGCAAACACATTCTTCTCGGCGCAGCCTTGGGCCGATATCGCCGCTAAGAACTCTTCTCTCAACTGGGCGCTCAACAGAGGCATCTATACGCAAACTGTCCCACTCGCATCGCGCTGCGTCGCCTCCGCAATGTGGCAGAAGCACACCGGCACCTCATCCTGTTCCCCCGCAGCATCCATTCTCCGCCGCAGGGATTCCTTCCAATCCACAAGCTCAGTCGAGTCCCTGACAGGCCCCAGCGCTGGGTATGCCGGGGAGACCTTCTACACGGCCTCCATCCTGGTGCCCACCAGCCTGTCGTTAACCCGCGCGTACCTCCCGACCTTCCACTCATGTCTGTCGTCGCGCACCTACGCGCTCGAAATCTCACTCTCCTACCACACACCCAACGCGAACCTGACTGCTCCCACGCTGGCTCTGCTGTTGCCCGTCCAGATATCCACCACGGAGAGTCTCGCAGAAGCTTCTGCGGCGCGTGGTGACCCGGAGCGGGCTGGAAACTCCTATGATGAGTTTTTCACGCCGCGAAGCATTGCACCCCCACAGGCGGAATTCACTGAGCGCTCGTCGACATTGTCGATGGGGCCCCGGCAGGGACGAAGTGATACATTGGTATCGACAACATCAGCTACCAGCACCATGAGTCCCCCAGAATATTCGCCTGTTTCGTCGCCATGTGCGAGGCGAACGGGAGTCATGACTGCTTGTTGATTAATAAACAGTTAGCACCGGACGGTGTCCTGCTATATGGATCGTTTTCTTTTCTTCTTTTTCTTTCTTCTTTTTTTGTTTTCTTTTTTTATTTTATTTAAGTTTTAAAATTGGGATATGGCGCTTTGTGAATTGAGTCCTTAGTTTTCGATTTCTTCGCTTTGCGTCTTCTCATATTTCATATCACAACCTCGGCTTTCAGTTTCGTCCAACGGTGATGCTTTTCTTGACACCGCAGTCTTTTGTTAGATTTGGCGTTTGTAACTGTTGCTCTATTTTAACGAGCTCTTGGATACCCACATGTGTATTTCTCGTTCTGCGTGATAGTTTTTGGGCGGAGAACTTACCATCTCATGAAAAAGAAAAGTTTTATAATTGCAGTTGTTTCTATTTCATATTCTCTTTGCTTCATATGGTCATTGCATTGCCGCATAATTGTCGAATTCTTCCAAGGCCTTTTCGCCATGCCTTATACATACATACCCCAATCACAAACGAGCTGTTGTTGTCATCATAGCGATTCCCAGTGCTGGTTTTGTTCAAATAGTTCCAATGATTCCTAGAGGGGTGAATGTGTTCTTCCTGCATTTGAAAGATTTTCACTTTGGACTGCATAAATGTATTCAATGTTTCAATGAGTTAGCCCGAGTTTAATCCAAGATCCACGGAGCGGCATGAGAGACTAGAAAATGATCCGGGACAACCGCTTATCTATCTGTCCTAAAGTATTAAGCAGGACACCAGGCAATAAATTTCGAACGGCCGTAAAGCCCACCATGTTTTGTTTCATTGCTCGAAAGTTTCGACTGTTATGGCCGTGCAGTAATCTCCATGTGGTTGGTGCGCATGAAGAAAACCGAAAAGGCACAAACTCTGCGAACCCATCACAGGGTTTTAGGGGTCAACTTTCTGGGCATCCTCTCCAAAACGTGCTGGCTCTTATTGGCGCACACTTTGCCTCCTGTGCGTTATCTGGTAGCAACCAATGATGATTCAAAACAGCGGACGCGAGGCTTAACGAGGCAAGTTTTCAGACTATTGACCACCGCCTCGAAGCAAGCGCGCTAACAATTCTCCACGATCTGCAGGGTGGGGTGCTCTTGCTAAGTGCTGCTCACTTGAGACATCGCCTCGTCTTTCAACAGAAGCGACTAATGCGTTAGAAGGGAGATACAAGCTGAAATCTCTCGTATCCACGCAACAGATAGCGGTTACTCATCCGAAGCTGGGTAATGATGGGGATCCAGCCGGGGCGCCAGGAGGCAGTGAGGCGGCGGCAGAAGGGCGTCCTCGTAGTAGCCTTCTTCAGCAAGGTGCTGTTGCCAGGTTAGAAAGTTGAAATGGGAAAAGCTTCACCCGCTGATATTGCTATTGCTTTGACTATTGCTTTGAAAGTCCTCGTCGAGGATATTTGGAAGCTAGGGCAAGTGTGTCACATGATTTATCTGACGAGATTGCCGCCGAAAACTTGTCCAACTTTGCCCAACTTGTTCGTTCCCCTTGCCCAGCAGCCCAACACCAGCATGCCAGCAAATAATTGTTGCGAGGCCGTCCTGCGAAGTCAAACTTCCAGGGCATGCTTGTCAGGCACCGTTCATGCCCGACAGATCGGCCAGGATTTGTTCTCCTGCAGCTTGAAAAGCGCCAATGGAAACTCCCGTTTTCAGCCATTGAGTCGCCTCACCAAGTCATGGAACCGGGGTGCATGCTCAGAGTGAAAGAAAGGCAGCTTGAATATCCACTCCTGAATGGTTGTTTTGGGGCTTCCGGTTTCCATTGTCAAAGAATCTCCAGCTTTGAACAATTTCTTCAAGCTCGAAGAGCTTCAATCTACGATGCTAATACAGCAGGTGTGACAAATAGTGTCATGTTGCGGGCGGATTTAATTGGCGGTTCGCGAAGTGATTTTTTGTTACCAGGGATATCCAGAAACGAATAACCACGTCTTGCGGTTGGAATGCTCACATCAGCTTTAAATAAAACCACAGAGAGGGGTGACACCCTCTCTGTTACCGGCACTTCTTTGACTTTTCAATCATGCTATGTCGAATTGTTATTGGAATTTTGGGCTGTTTTGGAACATATGATGTACAGTACATTTAGATTCCAACCTGGCTGTTCAAGGATTCATTTTGTTCTTTCAAGCCAGACACTGGCTATCACCGCCTATCAATATCTTCTGAACAAGTCATCGCGGAGTAAATTAACGACTGACGACTGAGGATTTTACAAAACACAGTACAAAGCTTGCTTGTCCTGAAGATTTCTTCGAGCAATAGCCAATCAACCTGAGCCGCCTGGCCGGTTTGGTGTCAATTACTTCAACTTGCACCAGAATCCAAAGGCTCTGATCCCACAGAAGGTAATATCTAACGCCAACTCTGCCCAAGTTCAGGGTATGTTTACTCAACGGGCCGTGGTGTAGCGAAATACAGATGCGAACAAAAGCTATTGGCACGAAGTTCCCTGGAAGTTAAACAAGCAGTTTACATCGGGCGGGGTTGTAGGGAGTGAGGCAGAGAAAAACATCAAGTGAGTATAAATAAGGTATCCTCCCAACCGAAAATTCGCCTTTCATTTGCCAGTCCTTTCGTGTTCATACATTATTGGCTTCCATTTTGCCTGTCTTCCTGACTCCGGCTCAAGACCTTTTAATATTCCCATTCCGTTCCTGAGCTTATGCTATCGTACACTTAGGAAGTGAATCCAAAGATTACTCCCAAACGATGGAAGCGCCAACTGAGATAGACTGCTATCGGGTCCTTGGTCTCACGCAATCCGCCACGGCGGCGGAGATCAAAAAGGCGTACAGGAAAAAATTACTGATGACCCACCCGGATAAGAATCCGGGGATATCGTCGGATGAGTTTTGCAAGGTTTGTTTATTATTCAGGTTCCTTGATCCATTGTCGTATATGCCAGAGAATGCTTGATGATTAACATGTTTGCTTATCAGGTGCAAGAGGCGTACGAAACCCTCCAAGATGACGAAAAGAGGAGAGTTTTCGACCAAAAATATGACGATATTCGCGTGGAGTGGGACATGTATGTGCGTGGGGAAACCCGTGGGCGCAAAGAGAAGAAAGCCACCGGTATCCCGCCCTACGAAAGATCAGCGCCGGCCCCAGAGAAACCGTTTCCAGGACGAAGAACTAGCCCTGGACCATCAACGTTCCGAGCTCACTCCCGGAGACCACGCGTACGGGCAACACCGCGCAGGTCGTACTCGCCCATTCATAAAACAAAGGCACGCTCTCCGTCCCCTCAAAGTCGCAGGTCCCATCGCCCATCGAAATCAGATTTGCCTGCGCAAAATCGCGGCCCTTCACCAAAACGACATGCATACTCCCAATCGGTCCCGTCATATAACTACAAAATCGTCAGACCCCGATGGGCCACTGACGACGACATTCCTATAATATCACCGAAATCACACCGACGAAATGAACCACTTGAATATGCAGAAATCTCCCCGCGCAGCCCGCGCAGCCCGCGGACTCCAACCCAAACAACCCCAGTCACGCTCTACGCGGAATCCTACACGGATTACTACACTCAGCAAGTGACAGCCAAGACAGTACTTATCGAGCCGCGCAACCAGTACACCGTAAATAAGCCCGTATCACCAGTCGCCGCTGAAAGGCCGAAACCCTCACCATTGCCCTACAACACGGTGACAATCCAGCCATCCCATAGCTACGCCTACGAGTCGCCTTACGATTACGCAGTGATAGTGGGCAGCAGCCGGCGATTTGAAGGCACCGTTGATTTGCGTTTTGCTCCAAAACTTAGGATGCAACGTTTTAACTCGGACCTTTTCTAAGTGTGATTTTGCCGGTGTACCTTTTTCGTGGTATTCTTTTGTGGCGTTGGAGTTTGCTCTGTTCCACGGTTTCCAGTGGAACGAGTGCCATGTTGTCTTAATATCATTTGTATTTTTTGTGTCTGATCGCAAGGGATACTGATCAGGAAAGGGACAGGCACGATGCGATTATGATTGGAATTCAACGGTGATTCATCACAAAGAAACAGACTCATTACTACGACAGGAAACATCGATTAGCATGTTCGCCATTTACTGTACTTTTCACCTTTTCTTTTTCTGTTGACATACAGTAGTATCTAAGTGAATGGGGCTATTGGTTCTAGTTTCTTACTCTTCTTATTCCTCTTCTCCCTCCTACCGTATTACTTCCTCCACTTTTTTTTCTTTTATGTCCTTTTTCCAATTTTCCTTTTTCTCCTGCCCCGCCTTCTTCAGTTTTATATTCACGAATAATTTTTCTTTAACACACGTATTTTATCCTACTCCGCCCGTTTCATATACAGTTCTGATATCACTCCGTTTTCTGCTACAGATCGGGGTTGGGAATCGGGTTTGGCTTAAGGTTTCTTTCGGGCGGTTCCTGGGAATTTCATCATTCTCATTACTATTCTTGTCATGATCAGGAGTCAGAAGGGTGCAAGGCGGTGATTTAGGATACACATAATAGAATATATACCCCAGCTTTGCCTCCTCAGGAAGCTACAATACTTTTTGATTCATTTTTTGGTATTTCCTATTTCGCCTTTGAAATTGAAAACAGCGAGTTCATCACTTAATTCAAGAATCAATTCCATTGAACAACTTAGAACGAATGTTAATTTCTGCATGATGGCTTGCCCAAAAGGGGGAAAGCATGCGCCAAGCTTTTGGCTAAGATTCCAACGACTTCTCCAGCAGACAACTGACAGTCCCATCAACCATCAACAATCAAAACCCCTTATGAATACAAGCAGAAGCCTGTCATGGGATCCAAGACACCGGGAAATCATCGCCGGGGCCCAAATGGTATGGGAAATAAGTAGAGTATATATTTTGTTGTTAAGTATGCCGTTCTAACTACCTACCTAGAGTCGTCACCACATCCCGCAATTGATGCCATCAATCCTCCGAAGCAAGCCGCAGCAAGTAGACTCGTTCATAGTTCACTCGAAGGAGAAAGTGAAGGCGGGGAGGATGAGGACGACGATAAACCTGGAGCCGACCTAAAAGCTGTTGGTCAAATTGGCAACAATGGTAGGCCAACTCGAAAAATTGCCGAATACTTGAAGCTAACCCAAGATCAGGCCAGAAAAGAAACAAGAGAAGGAAGAAGAAAAAGAAGAATACAAAGGAATTGGAGATCCTACAGACGACCCCGCCTAGGGTTGCATTAGCGAACATTTTTCGCAGTCAGCGATACCCGGAAGCTGAAATTGTCAAATACAGCACGGACAATGACAATCTTCAGCGCACCACTGCTGAAGAACTCCGTCATATATCCGTTTTGAACGCTATGGACGATGAGTTCCTAAATGACTACCGCAAAGCTGCCGAAGTCCATCGCCAAGTCCGCCAGTATGTGCAGACAATCATCAAACCCGGCATTGCGCTCAGCCAGCTTGCCGAAGAAATAGAGGACGGCGTGCGTGCACTAACCAATCACCAAGGTCTTGAGACTGGAGACGCTCTCAAAGCCGGCATGGCCTTTCCCACCGGCCTCTGTTTGAATAACATTGCAGCTCACTGGACCCCTAATCCTGGTGCCAAGGAGGTTATCCTCAAGTATGATGATGTTTTGAAAATAGATTTCGGAGTTCATGTCAACGGCAGGATCGTGGATAGCGCTTTTACCATAGCTTTCAATCCAGTCTACGATAATTTGCTTGCAGCTGTCAAGGATGCGACCAATGCTGGGCTCAAGGTATGCGAATCGATTTTTTTTCCTACACCGTAGGGCTTTACAAAAGCTAAAGGAAAGCTCAGGAAGCAGGCATTGACGCCAGGATCGCTCACATCAGTGAGACAATCCAAAATGTAATGGAGAGCTACGAGGTTGAGCTCAACCAGAAGGTCATCCCCGTAAAGGCGGTTCGAAACATCACGGGTCATAACGTCCTACATTACAAGATCCACGGCGACAAACAAGTCCCATTCGTAAAGACACAGACCAACCAGCGCATGGAAGAAGGCGACGTGTTCGCTATTGAAACATTCGGCAGTACTGGAAAAGCATATCTCGACGATGCCACCGGAATCTACGGGTACGGGTACGATGAGAATGCCAGCACGGCCGGGCTTCATCACTCCTCGGCCAAGTCGCTATTGAAAACCATCAAGGAGAATTTCGGGACTCTGGTTTTCTCCAGGCGCTACCTTGAGCGGTTGGGGGTACAAAGATATCATCTCGGTATGAGATCGCTCGTCACTAATGGTATCGTCCAGTCGTATGCGCCGCTTGTGGATGTTCCTGGATCCTACGTTGCGCAGTTTGAGCATGTAAGTAGGCTCACATTTGTTGAGTTAACGTGAAAACTTCTAACAGAATCTTCTGGAACAGACTGTTTTGCTCCGGCCAAATTGCAAGGAGGTGATCTCCCGAGGAGATGATTACTGAAGAAGTTGTGGGAGCAAGGTTTCGGGTTTGGTATCCTTATTTTTCCCCCCTAACTTCAACGGTTAGGGAATTCCATTGGCTTGCTGAAGCAGTTCAACATGCTTTACTTACAGCCTGGATTACACTCGCTAAGTTTCCAAGTATCAACGACTCAACATCAACTTGCTTTTCCTCAAATACGGGAATCTATATAAAACCCTACGCGATTATTCCATTAGTACCATTCTTCTATGCCGCGTCTTTCCGATAGAGCTAGGATTTGCGACCCTGGCAGTTCTTGTGAGAACAAACGTCCAGTAGAAGCAAAACAATGCTAGAAGCCGTGTGTACGTACATACATACATATAAAGGGAAAATGCGCCCAGCGCCTGGGACCTCGCTAACACCTGACATCCCAAAAAGTTGCCGTAAGTCCTAGTAGTTAATGCACGACGTAGTTTTTCTTACACTATTGTATTTGAGTTGGCGATCGATATAACAGTAAGCGCTTAAGAAAGCTCCAAGTAGCAGTAGTAGCATTAGGACTAACTATTAGTAACTACTAGTTACGTCTCTCCAACCAACTTTAAGCCAACTGCGCTGAAAGCCTTGCATTCATCCCATGTCCACATGCGCCTAGAGCTGGGTTTTTATCTATTAACAAAAAAAAAAAAAAAAAAAAGGGGGGGGGGGGGGGGGTTACCTACAGAAAAGAGCCTTGCCATATCTTTTCTCTCCCACATCAAATATGGTAAAAATTCATACCAGATGAGGTTAAATTCCAGGAAATGTCTCGAGCGCTGCAGACCCAGCAGCTATTTCCGTGACATGTTGTATACAGTAATCGTTTAGGATTTCCAAAGATTGATGTAATAAGAAAATGTTTTTATCTCTTCACTGAATTGAAACGGCTTCTCTGCCCTCATCAATATAGGCCGGCCCTGTCTTACTCACTCCCAGCCTAATTCCGGCCGTGAACCCCAATCAGCCGTTCGCACCACCAAAATGTCCATCCATTGCCGTCGGCTATCGGTAATCCTGTTCCGCTGGAGAGGAACTTCGACGCCCCGTTTCCGCACCGAACATAAAGTGTGACGTCCCCATCGGCCGAATATGTTCGCATTGTTTACGAAACTCATAAGCGCACGTGGGACCGGGGAGACGAGAGGCCAGCGATATTGTTTCGATCGTAAACGACCACGCAGTGCCCATGCCTTGCCATGCCGGCTTCTACGTACCCTGATCAACCGCCTTCGAATCCCGGCACGCTCACCCGGGCAGGCAGGTGGGCACCGTAACAACGGCACGGCCATGGTTCCCTGTTCACATGTTCCCGGAATCTGCTGTTAGCAGGTAGGTGGGTATTGATGCCGTGGGTTGCCCGCCCCATGACATGCCGTGTGGCATACTTTCAGGTTCCGTCTGGCCCTTTTGGATGCTTCGCGGTTTGGCATTGTTGAGAATACCCCCGGATGGGCCGTGTGCGTGGTTTTTCACGGGAGCTTGATGGCCTCGTGCGAGCGATTTTGTGGGCTGTTTGTGATGAGCTCGGGCTGAGTGGCTGAGTGAGTGAGTGAGAAAGGTCTGCGTCCACCTTGGCAGGCTCACTGAGACTATATATCTTGTTTATGTTTGTGTGGTAGCTAGCGCTTGTCGCGTAGAGAGATATCACGATTGATGATATCGCCATCTCCAGGAGGGTTCGCTGGTTGGGGATTCCGAGGTGGATCATTTCGTTTGGGATGGAGGAGGAGGGAAGCCACGATAGTTCAGAGGGAATAACAACAACAATAATAATGAGTAAGGATGCTGACTTTTCATCGAGCCATGCTCTTAATTCTTTTTATTTGTTTGTTCATTTTTTACCTTTTCCTCTCTTCAGAATGATTGAAACAGATATAAAATACATCCCCTGCTTCCATTCCGCTCTACACAGGCTCTGCGATAAGACTTCGCCAAATGGAATTTGAAGTAAACACCCCGGTTTGAACTCTGTAGCGACAACATCCGGATACCTGACAAGCCAATCTATAAGTCTAGCACATTCCCCTCTGAACCCTGGCGTCTAAAATGTTAGATTTCCATCCTATGCAAACACCGTTTGCTCCTCTGTGTAGTCGGCCTGACATCATCATGGTCCAGCCCCCGCTCTCGATTGCGGGACAGTGCGCTTCACGGAAGCCGGTGGACAGGTCGGACAGAGCCCGTGAAAGTGTACATATGCCAGGAAGTAATTGCTATTGTCCGGCAACTGGATCTGGTGGAGGGATGGTTGGGTTGGTTGGAGAAACCTGTGTTGGTATTGACTTTGAGGTGAGGTTGGATTTCCCCTATATAACTATAACATCCATGGATGCACCTCAAATCGCGTGACTCCGTGGTACGAACCAGGTACTTTCATCTTTATATTATTTCGTGTTCATCGAGCCCGATTCCGGAGCACTTCCGTTGCTTGGATGAGTGGTGGCGGCCATGGTTGGTTCTGTTAGGTCGCTCGGTCATCCGAACGAGCAGGGCTCAAATCTTCACAGGGGAAATGGGGAGTTTCTTGCTGCGAGTTCTTGAGAGCCGTCAAATTTGGCCTCGCGCTTCTGGCGACGCTGCCCGTGAAAAATTTTGTTGTTGTCAGGCCAAGGATGTTGACTAGCTAACGCCGCTGTCAAACCATGCCACGGTGTGCTGCGCCATACCTAGATACGCAGGGCTAAGTGTGGGATTCTTGTGTGACTCGCCGGCCAGATACACCGTTCGTCACCGGTTACTTTGACTAAGAAACTCCATTTGAGGACCGAATATTCAACGGAATTGATTGAAAGGCAGTCAAAATTATAAAGATTGCCTTGCAGTGCAGTGCAGCGCGATGAGGCAAAGAATCAAATCACATAATAGCGCCAGTGTAATAGGTAATAGTTATCAGTTCCAAAAGCAGTGGAATCAGCGCTTGAGTCTCCTTGGAGCCCAGTGGTGGCGAAAATTTCTTCCTCAACGCCTGTTGGGATATCCATCCACACTAAAAATAGCAGCAACAACGGTCAGCTGCACGGATCTTATCAGTTAGCCGCCTTGGCCTGATCAAGTCCTCTCCTGCGTGCGTCACCCAAGCATCCCGCCGCGTACGTACTCATGGCACTGTCGCAAGCATTAACTTGACGACGACCACGATGCACCACACGAGAACTGTGCGGTGCAGGTTAAGTATTACACTTGGGAGAGCATATGCGCCACAGATATTAGGCAGGAAAACCGATTGATCTGTCTCCGCAGCAATGCTGCACTTGTCAAAATGAAAGCCAGCGGGCGCAACATCCCGTGGTTGAATCAACCGCCCCAGAGACCGCGCACGGTAAGTGGACCATCAGCATCGGCAAATCCCCACTCCCGTGCCTCAAAGAAGTGCCTTGCTCAATACTGGACGGTACGTTATGCACATCGTAGCACAGCGCAAAAGGCAAGAAACAGTGACGGAAACCGTGGCGGCAAAGAAATTGGTATCATTCCAAGGTTCCTTCAGGCGGCCGATGCACAACATGGTGCAGGACCAGCAACGCCGGGGTGTGCTAGCGCGCATGCAGCTTGCAAGTGACGGCTGCGAAGCCTCCTGCGCTAGCAAGGTTCCGCGCGGTCGGGCCCTGGAAGGGCCCCGCAGCAGCCTAGGATGTGTAGCTACGGACATTGAAGTTGACAGCGGGTGAAAGCGCTCAAGGCTCAAGGGTACAATTGATAACAGAGATCGAAGGCGCATATTGCTGAGAATATATATGCGATAACCGTTGGTAACTCTGGCCAAGTACCTGCGCACCACAAAATGGACGGTGGGTACATGCAGCGCGCTAGCCCTGACTAGCCAAGATCGTTGGTCACACTTTACTGTATTAAGCCTAGCGCCTGCGCCACCGCTTTCCCTTCCAGGCTGCGCCTAGCCCAATCTGGAAGTCCCATAACGACACGATTCTGCCGTCCTTCTTTCGGACCCGTTCGACTTTCATCCAACGTCGAACCTCAACCTCAACCTCAACGTCCACATCAACAGCGTCTGCAGCATCGGCGGCATGCAATGCACGCACCAGTCTGTCCTTTCAGCCTCTCTGTTCTTCGTCCTGATTACTGCTTGGCGCTGCCAGGCGTCAAGTAGCGTATCCACTCCCTGCTGGTTGTCCCTCAAACCCCCGTCGTTTAACTTTTTATTTGCCTTTCGCCTAGCATGCATAGCCCTGCACATAAGCCCGAGTCAAGCTCTCATCCACGTTTTAACCCCCATCGCTCCATCACTTTCTTGAACTCTGATCTTCAACCTTCCGAGGCATTCGCACTCGTTCCAGCGTGTAAGTTCTCCCGTTTCCGCGGTTCTTCTGCCGCCGCTTTGAACAGTTGCCCTGTGAAACCTTTGCCTTTGGCGCGTTCCAATTTTACCAGTAACCTTTAATTATCTCCCTTTCTACAATTCATGGTTGATCCCCCAGCGCGCACCATCAAACAACAATATAAGAAAAGAAACAGAGAGAAAGCCAGAAACAAGCCTTTTCCAGCCTGCCTCCTCGTTAATACCCCCCCCTCCCTGGGGCTGACAGCTGACCCTAGTCCAATTCAAACCGCAGCGCAGACAGCTACACAACCCACAAACTCCCCCGAGAACGACTAGGAACATATAATATAACTTAGTTATAATAATATAATCATAATATAAGACTCATCATCGGACGGAATCGATATTCACAAAGCGGGTTGCGACGACTTTTGTGGCTCCATGTCTCCAAGCCTTCAGCCTCCACACCAAGCAACAACAAGAGTCCGTCGTCCCAAGCCAGCCAGTTCCCCGTTAATTATGTCCAGCCTCTCCTCATTTTTTTGAGCCCCACTCTTCCTCCCTGGCCGTCCTATTGCAGTTAGTGGCTGGGCTCGAGAAACCCGTCACTCCAAAAACGCCGCTGGTGCAGACGACGCAGCTCCCAAGCAATAATCCATCTTTGTTATTTGTTTGCCCTTTCCGTTTTTTTTTTTTTTTTTTGGGTTGTTTTCTCCCTCTACCAACAAGATCTCGCCGTTTCATTCCCCAATTCTATTCGTCCACTCCTTTGATTTAGTTTGATTTATTTTATTTAAACTTACTTTAGCTTCTGAGCCTCCCATCATCCCCTGAAAGCACCCCGTCACTCCTTCGTCGTTTTGGCTTTCCCCTTGCACCAGTCTTGTCCGCGGTCTATCAGCCAAAACCCGTCCTCATCTCCTCGGGCCTTTTGGACATTCCTCTGACGCTCCTTTCTTGTTGAGTCTCTCTTCATCCGGCCTGCGCGCCGCTTCCCTTCCTTTGTCTTTTTTCATAGCTTCAGATATAATATCCCTGGCCATTTGTTCGTCATTTGCACCCTCTCGAACTCCCACTCCCCGTCCACGTTCGCCCTCCGCCTTCTCCACCACCCCAATAGCGAACGATCCAGCGTCGATCTAAGAACCAACCAGGAGTTTTTCTAGTATCTTTCCTTCCACGCAGAGGACAAACCTTCCTCCGAATTTCAGCAACAAAAATCCCCTGTTTCCTCCCAACCGCTGCTTCACAACAAATCCTCCCTCACCTGTGTGAATCGAGGCAATTTCTGCCAATTGGGACTACACGCCTCGGCCACAATTGCTATATTTCTTGCCTCTACCAACGCCCCTCCTGCTTGGGTTCTGGGGGGCGAGAAATCTCGCGTTTTGCTCAATTTTGCGCGGGCCCTTCAAAAACTCTGACCCACACCACCTGCGCTGAGTGGTGTTGAAACAGTACCAAAAGCCTCAACAATGCGGAAAGGCTACCTCATATTCATCGTCGTCAACTTCTTGATAGTCGCTTTCCTTGTGCGCAGTGTCTTTACCCTCCTGACACTTCTCATCGAAGATGCCTCGGCTGATGCGATTCGCCGTTCGGACCTCCCTTCGCCGAATTCGAGTCTAATTGAGACCCGTCCGCAGCTTATTCCTAAGATCATACATCAAACATACAAGAATGAATCAATTCCTGCTATGTGGCTTGGTGCTCAGCAGAGCTGTATCAAGCTCCACGCGGATTACGAATACAAGGTGCGTTTTGGTGTTTTTTCTTTCTTTTTTTTTTTAGGGGGGGGGGGGGGGGGGTTCTGTAGATGTAGCGTATCCTAATTGTTGGCTGGATCAAACGTTCAGTGCAATTGTCGGAATGTTGCGTTCAAAATTTGAGTGAAAAAATGGAAATGAAAAGGTCAATTGAAGCTAACCCAAAATAAAACCACTATTAGCTTTGGACGGACATGAAATCAAGGGATTTCATCGCGAAAGAATACCCTTGGTTCCTAGAGACTTTTGATAACTACCCGCACAACATTCAGCGAGCGGACGCGATTCGATACTTCGTCTTGGCACATTATGGTGGAACCTACATTGATCTAGACGATGTATGTTGATTTGGATTTATTTTTTCGTCATTCCAGATTTTTGTTGCTCCTGCGGGAAATAAATGCCAGCCGCGCCCATAAGTTCCTAACTAATCCAATGTTTCTTATATTACAGGGTTGCAACCGTCGCCTTGATCCTCTCCTCTCCTACGGTGCTTGGGTCCGCCGCACAGCGCCCACAGGCATCTCCAACGATGCCATGGGAGCTGTCCCCCAACACCCTTTCTTCCTCCGTGTCATTGACTCCTTACAAGCGTATAATAAGAACTGGGCGCTACCGTACATCACCGTCATGTATTCGACTGGGCCGCTCTTCCTCTCCGTCATCTGGAAGGAATACATGCTCTCCGAACCCACCATGGCCGATCGAGTGCGCATACTCATGCCGGACGAGTATAACCGGCATTCATGGAGCTTCTTCACACATCATCAGGGCAGCAGTTGGCATGGCAAAGATGCCAGGCTCATCTTTTGGGTGCGTAAAATAAAAAGAAAAAGAAAAAAAATGCTGGATCCTACCGCTCACCTATGAGACTAACTAACTCCAATTCTAAATAGATGGGCGGCCACTGGATGCTTTTGACGGCCCTCGGCTTCTGCCTCGCTGGCATACTCGGCTTCTGCCTCTGGTGGGCCTATGGCCGCCTCCTCTTCTACACCTCCCGCTGCTACCGCTACTCACCCCTTTCCAGGCGGCCACCGCCACCGCCACCGCACCCACCGATCCCACAACGCTCCTCATCCTTCTCACCCTCTCGACGACCTGGCGGCCGGTTATTCCCAGGTTGGCTGCGCCGACAAAGTCCTGCGAAGCGTCGCGGTGACGAGGAGATTGGTGGGTATGCGGATGTCGCATATGAACTCCTCGGTGGACGCAAAAGTGGCAGTATCCGAAAGGAATGAATAAACAATTTAAAACAAAGAATACGAATTGAAATAGAACAGGGCGGAGTGGAGGCGTTTTATTTTATATTTTTCTTCATTTTCCTTCCTTTTTTCTTCAAAGCCATCTATTTCTCTTTTCTTGTCGATTCACCTACTTCTATACCACCCCCTTAATAATTATTTGTATGTGAATAAACGTGTGTCTGCGTGCGCGTGTTGATGTCACGGCCAAAATCCCGCATTGAAAGAGCAAGCAGGACATGCTACGGAAGCAATTTTTGTTCTGATATGTTGTCTTCAAAGTTTTTTGTGTTCCTAGGGAAAAGGGATGGGAGCGCGTGAGAGGACAAAGGGAGAGGAAGAGGAAGAGGAACCTTTCATGACGTCCTTCCCTTGCTTTCCATAGGGGGGGGGGGGGGGGGGGTCCACCTTGCTTCTGTTTTTCAGCCTTACGGGTGGACATACAACACTTTGTTCTTGTTTACTTATAATAATGCGCATATACCCCGGTGTTATCGTGGGTCATTTTAATCGTTTGGTTTCACCAATTTTTGTGTCCATGCCTCTGATGGGGCTGAAGGAGTTCTGTTTTGATTTATCCGGGTATGTTTCATATATTCTATGAAATGTTTTGTTTTATTTGGCTGGTATTTGGCTGGTATTGATATTGTTTTTTAATATCTCCTTCTACTCCTACTCTTTTTTTCCATATTTCTTCTTGATTTGATAGATATTGTAATTCTTCTTATATTTCTTGCATCAGATCTTTTCTGAGTTTTTGTTCAAATTTTTTTTTTTTTTTAAATTCCCTTTTAGAGCACTGGAGCTTTCTGAGGCGCAAATATATATAAATATAATAATAATAATATATTACATCTGATCTTGATCTGATTCTTGTCAGGAGCAAGAGCAGGCAGTTACTATCCTTCTCATCGTTTCTCCTCAATCACGCCTTGCCTCGTGTCTTGTCTTGTGCCCGGCATTGATATTCGCAGTAGGTTTTTTTTTTTTATCTTAACATCCGTTAGAACTAAGTTACAAGACTTATTTCTAATTTCTATGGCAAATCCTCCTCTTGCTTCATTCATGCTTGTAATTCGCTGCCTGTTGCGCTTTATACCCATGTATATACATACATACATACATACATACATACATATATATATATATAGTCTTTTTCATAGACTAGATCTCCTATAGAGAGATTATTCTATACATATGTTATGTAATTAATATACCTCACTCCATTCCTGATTTAGACCATATCATCAGCGACTCCTCCGAGGAGGCGAAATGGGTTGGGTTGGATCGTTGGATCGTACATGCACAGTGTACAGCAGTACGTGTAGAGAGAGAGAGAGAGAGAGAGAGAGAGAGAGAGAGAGAGAGAGAGGGCACACTCCGTTGAATGCAGGCCGGGCCGGGAAGGAGATGATGAGAAATGAGAAAAACACCCTCTTCAGACCAGACGGGGGAAGTGGGTTGATTAATTGCTGTCTGGATGTCTGGCGCATATATATATATCCTACTTTATACGACTAACTAACTTGTGCTTGAGATCATCAATCACAAGTGTCTGGCAGTACCTGGTACATCTATCTAATATCTAATCTATCTTATATCAAGGGACTCCCATGGAGCCGGGCCAATTCAGATATAGATATAGATATAGATATAGATATAGATATAGAAACAGCGCTTGAGCGCTAGTTTGGCTTGGTTTCCAGCGCCGTTGTGGATCAATCAGCTGGCTATCGGCTGGGTTTTTGGGTTTTGGGTCTGGAGGTAACTAGTTAGTTGGCGGTTGCGACTGGGGAAGGTTAGGTAGGGAAAGGATATTATTATGTTGAGAGGACCTTGAATGTGCAACCCGCGCAAGCCATCGATCGGCTTTCTGCTATTTTGGGATTAAGGAAAAGGGAGGGGAGGATACGCGAACGACGCAGGCAGGCAAGGTAAGGTAAGGTAAGGTAAGGAAAAAGTAAGGAAGTAAGTGTAAGTAGATTTGTGAGCGTTTGTTTCAGTTCATTAGTTTTATATAGTTATAGTAAGTAGTATCCCATCGGATCAGATCAGATCAGATCAGAACTGCCAAAGTCGCTGTTGATCTCTGCCTTCGTCTTTTTAACTGAAGGCCTTTATTTATTTACGCCGCCACCAACCAGCAAAATCAACAATCAAAAAAAAAAAAAAAAAAAAAAACAAAAAAACAAAAAAACCGAGCAGTTGATGGGGTTCCGTCCCACCCCCATCTTCCGACTTGGTTTCGCCTTCGCCCTACCAGCTAAGCTAGGCGGAGGTTTCAGCGAATGATTCTGGATGTTCATTCGCAAATAATTATTGCTGGACGGTTTTCAAAAGAGGAATTGGAAAAGGGGAAACATGTTCAGACAGAGAGAGAAAGAAGACGCCCAACAGTGAACAGGAAAAAAAAAGCAGAGTATATATAAGGTATATAGCGTGGTATGTATATAATATGACGACGGGGAAGTGTAATGTGGCGAGAGAAAGCAAGGCAATAGAAAACAAGTCAAATAAAATGCAGGTAGCCCCCCTTTTGAACCTGGGAGAGTGTGGAAAAAAAAAAAAAAAAAAAAAAAAAAAAAAAAAAAAAAATAAGAGGGAAACAAAATAAACAGGCAGACGAACAAAGGTAGGAAGGATATCAGACTTAGACACGCTCGCCTGGGAGAACCGGCATCAGAAAGAAATTAATCGCTAATTAGCAGAGATAAGAAGACAAATGAGAACGGAAAAGGTATAAAAGAAGAAGCATAATCATTCGAGCGAGAAAGAAATGCGAATAAAAAATCATTCGAGCGAGAAAGAAATGCGAATAAAAAGCGTCAAAATATATAGCATTGAAATTTTCTTTTTTCATGCTTCCAAATCAGGTAGCCTCCAATCAAGCCTGGGTGGCTGGCTGAGGGTTAATAGAGGGCCCCTATCCTTCTTCTGCTCGCGTCGCTCCATGGATCGCGCCATGAGCAACCCGCGAAACGAGGAAGCGGTGTCGGATAGCCGGGTACCCGTGTTGGTGGGTGTGCTTGTGGTTGCCTTACTGCTTAGATTGCTGTTACTCTTAGTCGTGCGGATGCTGTTATTATTTAAAGTTCCTGGGGTAGCCAGGTGTGGGAGAGAAGGGGTCGGGACGGAGCGATCTGTGGACGACGTTTGTAGGCCACTAGAGGTATGGTATTTGAGTAAGGGAGGACGTGAAGAGTGGGTACGAGAGGCATCGGATGTGGACGATTTCGCTTTAGTCTTGGTGATTTGGATGGTAAGGTTTTCGTTGTGGTCGTTGTTCTCAGGGCTGCTGTAGTGCTCTTCATTATATGTCCCATCGGGTTGGTTTGGATTGGTCTGTTCAGACGAGAGCTGGTTGAGAAATGTACCGAGACTGGCAGCCGTAGTTGGCCGGCCATCGCTCGCATCGTCGTCGGCGCTATTACCGTATTCATCGACGAGGCCATGGGCCAGATTGTAATTTCGTACTAGATACCGTTGAAGGCGTTGGACTTCAATATCCCATTTCTCGCCTAGCGATTGAAGCACCGCTTGCACATCGTGCCGTAGAGCATGTGGGTGGGTGGTTGTACTGGCTAGCATGGGGGCAGAAGAGGCTAACGGCGAGGAGAATGTAGTCGTATGAGGATTCCCCTGTTGTACCGATGCCGGTGCTGGTTTAACTAACTTGTTCCCCGAGCTTGTAGCTCCACCAGAAACAGCTGCCTGGAGGGTCTTGCGTATGGTGGTTGTTTTAGACCCTCCGGTGTTTGAGGAATTCTGGCTCACGGACTCGATTTCACGGCGAACTCGCTCCAGACACTGCTCTCTGTCCTTTACCATTGAGGGAAGATGTAGAAGCTTCTTGTTTTTTTGCAGGCCGTTAACTAGTACTGTAAAGGACTGGAGATTGATTTCATTATTATCGCAGTAAACTTCGAAAAGGGTTCCATTTTCTTCCAGCACAGACGCAAGTGTATTGGCCCCCTGCAGCCCCAGTCTTTGATGTTCAATCTTCAATACCCTCAGCGAAGTATTTTTTTTCAGACCAGTCAAGGCCTGGTTTAGACCAATACCAAACCGAGCAACGTCCAGGTGCGCGTATTCACCGCTGATATCTAATTCCTCGATCGAGTTATTTTCCTCAAACATGAGTCGGAGTGCCTTGCACGTTTCCGGGCCAGCGTCATATGGCAAGGACGCCTTCGAAATATCAAGATACTTTAATGTCGTATTTTTCCTCACGGCATCAAGCAATCGCCGGAAGTGGTCTTCTTTTTGAAATTCCATCATTCTCATCGTCAGATGAGTTGGGGTTTTATCATTCGCAATCGCGTCAACTAGCAGAGAGTACTCGACATGAAGGCGATTTTCACTGACGTGGAGATGGATGTTTCGTGGCTTCCCCGAATCATTCGTCATGGAATGGAGAAATACCGCGACGTCTCTTCCGGTCAGGCCACATTGGTCGAGTTTCAGATTTCGAAGTGTGCTGGATCTAGGGCTTGCTAGGTATGCCGCGACTGAGTCCACGGTTTGTCCATTAACCGCTGTGTGACTCAGGGACAACTCCTCCAGTCGCCAGTTCAGTAGCGTTTCTGGGGCAATAAGCGGCTCTGGTCCTGTGGTCCTTGAGATGTGTGAAAGGTTTATTTTTCGGATATGTGCAAAGTAGCCTATTTGCTGTTGAAATAGTTCAGGGCTTAGTCTTCCCTGAACACCGGAGATATCAACAGATTCTAAAGAATTATCCTGAGCGGTTATTGTCGAAAGGATCAGGTCAAGGTCATGGATTGATATACCGCAATGACTGACCTCAAGGGCTCGAAGGTGAGAAGATTTCTGTGATGCAGCATCAACCAAATAATCCAGGTCCGAGTCGCCCAGTTTGATTCCATTTAATACAACCCAATCCACGTTCGTTAGCTGGCGTCGGCAAAGGGGAAATATTGCTTCCGGAATTCCGCAGCCCGGGTCAAGCGCCCCTCTGTTCGTAGACGGTTGTCTGGTCAGACAGAACGAGAAATCCAGCTTCCGAAGGCGTTTATTCTTCAGACACAAGGCGCGAATTTCCTGAGACAGGATAGACATATTTTCTTGACCAGGAAGTCGAATAGCGAGGTTGGAACGGGTCGTTGCAGCATCGATATCAATTCCACAGGGGTCGCGCAAACTATGAAGAACATCTAAATTGATATCCATAAACGAGATCGTAACGAAGGACTCATTATATCGTAGCGAGCGCATAACAGCTAAAAGTTCTAGAGCGGAATACCTGCGCCGATCCTTACCGCTCGCGGGGTGCAGTAAACGAAAACATGGAGCGTCATCACAGGCGTAATCAATTGTATAACGGATATTTGAGGTGTCGACATCGTAGGCGGCGCAGTAAGCTGTAAGAGTGCGATCGAATCCACCATGATCTTGATCCACGTACATTAATGGAGCGACTTGATCTTCTACATGCTGAGGGACATTGAAGCCAAATGGTTGTTGCAGCCATTCCGGCCTAAGCCATTCCACCCTCTGCCGCATTAGAATAGCGATTTCGCTTGAGAATGATGATGAAAGGTACAAACCGAAGGGATGGCAAAGGGGTGCACTACGAACATGTTAGCGGAGACTAGTAAGAGAGAGAGAGAGAGAGAGACTATAAAACACAGGAACAGCCCAACCCACGAAATTGGCTAATAAATAAAGAAATAAAGAAATAAATGGCAACGAAAATGAAGAACATACCGGAATACCAGCTGGAAAGCATCATCGCCTCCCTGTATCGACACGGACGTCAACGTCATAAACCCAAATGACATGTTCATATCCAACTCAGTTATAGAGGTGACGGAACCCCGATTGGACGACTTCGGTAGTGGTATTAAGTGGATTTTATGGACGCCGATAGCCAGATAACACACATTCGAAGTCAGCTTCGCGAAGTCATCATTCGATGATCTGCCACCAGACTTGGTCGCCACGCGTTGCACGACCTTGTACATTCGGAAACAATCCGGGTCATAGTCTCGTTCAAGTTCGAGAGCCCTGGCAACGTATTCTACGGACTTTTGATCAAACATCGGCGGGTCAATAGCTCGGGCTTGCTCAGCTGCCGCACGGATACCTGCTAGCCATAATCCAGATTCCTCCGGGTCGCTAAATTGTAGCTGGAAAGACAAGGGTTTGGGGGATCGCTCGTCCATATGGCAGACCTCAATTGAAAAGTAAGGTCGTCCATCATCGAGCTTGTAGACTGCCACTATAGAGTTCAATGGTATCCCCGCCGCAAGGTCCGCATAAGTAGCCAACTGCGGGTCCTGAAAGGAAGCAATTGAGACCATTGATTGCCGATTCGTGGAAGTCAAAACCAGAGAATTTCGACCACATGAGGCCGGGATGGAGGGGAAAAGCTCTGCCGCTTTTGACTGGCTTTTGAACCGCACCAAATGAGTATCCGTCAGCACCAGGTACTGGCTCTTCTTCCGCCACATGCCGCCTGTTGTTTGGACTTCGCCATGATGTAAGGTTTGGTTTCCTAAGAGGGATTTCAGGGTGGCCAGGCTTGCGGCAACGTCTTCCTCATCACCAGAGGACGCTTTAGAACGGGCTCTTGTCGAGCGCTGGTCATCATCAATTGAGCCCAGCGAGCGCAAGGACCCAAACACGGATTTTCGCATGGATTTCTGAGAGGATTTCGATCGCGTATTCGAGAGCTCATCTGTGGACGGGGAGGCGAGGTATTCCTGTCAAAGGATGCAAGAGAGATTAGGGACTGAGAGCGATAGCTAGAGGAGCCAAAACCATAATTGGTGGAACGGGGTGCCCATTACGGGAGACATCCAACGTATGTACTTTCATACACAAGGTTGGATGGATGGAAGATGAAGAATTTCGTGTTTGAGAGAGGGGACGAGGTTTTTTTTTTTTTTTTTTTTTTTTTGTAGCGAATTGGGAAATTGGTGCAACTTACCCTGGCAATCGGGGAGCCGCTGCTGTAGGGCCGTCCACTGCTCTTTGGCTGCCTGTGGTGAGCCCTTAGCGGACGCGAACCCGAGCGGTGTGTTGTCGCATAAAAGCCATCGGAAACAGATCGATCGTGCCCGTGAAGGTCTCTGGCTGGACCAGTAAAGGCGGAGTCCAATAATCCACTCCAACTCTTTCTCCGCTGAGATTTCTGATGGTTATGATTATCAGATCTCTCCGCCATGGTGTGCGTAGTGTGGGAGTTAAGGGCGGTCACTGCCCAAGCTAAGGGAAACCCAAGATAACGGAACCACGGGGAGATCCAGATTGAGGGAAAGCAGGAGGACAGGTGCAGCTAGAAGGGGATCACTGATTGGAGGTCGGCGATAGATACAGGACACAAAAATTGATAAGAGCAGAAAAAGGTGGAACCAGTGCTCCCAAGCCCTTCAGCCTTCGAGGTTCTGGATCAGCGATTGTCGGGAGAACGAATCATCGAACCGCACTATTACTGCTAGTTCGTCCAGATCAACCGATTAACAGCAACTGGGCTGGCTGAGTTGCCATGCTGGAAGAAGCGGCCTGTCACTGATCGAATGGCGTCCAGTAACACCGCAGACTGGAGGGCCGTGGGTGGAGAGCAAGATGGATGAGGTGGCTGCGGGATGTCGTGTCAGTGCACATCGAGCGGCACTCTGTCGATGGTTCGTGGAAGAGGAGAGATGGAGGGAGAGGAAGCAGATGAGGAAGAAGAGGGGAAAGACGAGAAAGACAAGACAACGGAGGTGGAGACAGAACAAGGACAGGACAAGATCAAGATCGAGATCAAGAAGCGAGGAAATGCTGGCAGAAAGAGGAGGCTCTACCTAGGTAACCGGGCTAACCCAGCAGGGCAGTTAGCCTGTGCTACTGTATCAGTCCCGACAACGACAGCAACAACAGCAACGTCGCCTGCTCCCCAAGGAACGAAACACATGGCAACAGCTGCTGGCCAAGTATACGCAGCGCAGATCCGTCGCTGATTGATCGATGGCCTTTGGATTGCAATGGTAGCGACAGAGCCCTCTTCACGAAGCCGCTGGTACGACGAACATGGGCCCCATTTTGTCTCTCTGGCCACACACATGGCAACATCCTATCATGATGTCTACAAGTATACTTAAAAGCTGCTATTAACTCCCCCTCCTCCTCCTCCTCCCTTCAGGTACACCGTCGGCACGGGCAAGCTTTCGTGTAAGTTGCGGCCTGTCTCCTTCCCCTCAACGTCAGCAACAACAAAGCTGCCCTCCGCTACGTTGCAACATGGCTGGCCTGGCTCTGGAGCACTGGTAATTGTGACGTGATGTTTCTCCAGATTCCTACCAAGGTTCGCAGCTGGCAGATACTTTAACTTTTTCTCAAAATAGGCATGGTGGCTAAACTTCCATGCCTTGTTTCAGACTACGTCAAAGACGTCTTGTTGTAGTTCTACTCTACACTCCTGGAGCTCTCTTGGGGGGGAAATAGAGATATGGGCGAGTGAGTGCTTCTGAGCGCCTTGAGAATAATACCTGAGACCTTCGAATGGAACATTGTGGGAGGCCCATCTGTGCCTGGGCTTCGCTTCATCTCATTTCTGTGGAGACACGTAGCTCCTTAACAAAGTATTCCTCAGAGAATGCCAGCCAACCGTAAGATCGCCAAACCCGTATTTGAAATAGAAATGCCATGTAGCGCGGAGCTTCTCTGTAACTTGCAAACTCTTTTAGTTAACGAGCTGAGCACGCATGGCTGATACTTGGCGCTGAAAGTACCAGTATTCTGTTATGGTCTTTACACAAAAACAGTGGCTGGCTATTGGCCGAGTCCACATTCGGGTGTCAAATATCACTCTCCCCATTTCCTCCAGCATCAACCCCTGAACTTGAGGATAATCCTCCGGTCTCCGCGTCGCAAGGAAGCCACAGGAGTTCGACGGTTAAATCCAACATCATCCACAACATGACAAATGCTAAATTCTCCATCTTCGCCGACCGCGGAAAGTTGCAATATCAACAATCATGGGGATAAGTGAATACATTTCCCGCGCTGCTCGTCATCCCGCATAATTGTGATAGTCCCGCGTATGTCCCCGTCCCCGTGCAGCAGCACACCGTTGGATCCGCGCGTTGATTGCAAAAATGAAGACGAGCGTTCCCAGCATGTGCATGCATCCACGCATATGCAATCAGAAATCTTGGAATTCTCGCCTGCATCCTGTCAGATTTTGTGGAGCAGAAGAAGGATCAAAAACCGTATTTGGAAACTACTAGTACCACAATCGCTGCGGAATATTAAATGCCCTTTGGACGTGGCGCAGGCCCATGTAGTAGCTCAACCACCCTTTTTTTTTTTTTTTTTTCAGATCTTGAAAAGTGAGGAGCGAGACTTGGTGTGGGGTTGATCCAGATTTTCAAAGTCAAAAACAAAACGAAACCAGGAAAAAAAAAAAAAAAAAAAAAAAAAAAAAAAAAACCATTGCGAAAAACAGACAATGGAGCAAGGGTTGGCTGGCGGTCTGGCAAGGCTCGTGTTGGCGTGCTCGCCCTACTCACCCCGCAGTGCCAATGCCAGTGGCCTTGCCGGGCTGCGACATTCCGGCACGTCATCATCGCCGAGGAGCATGGAAGAATTTCTGTTGATCTCTTGGAGCTCTGTGGCGGAATATTTGGAGGAAGCTCCGTCCAATTGGCAAGGCACAAGGATGAGACGATGGCCTGGAATGGCTCCGCTGGCGACCATTGAGGAGGGTATTACTCTTTGGCGATTGGCGATTGAATATTTCTTTTTTCTTTTGCATCCGTTCTTTCATTTTTTGTTTTTTCTTGTTTTTTTTCTTTTTTTTTTCTTTTCGTTTGATAGACGTCAGCCTTCCAGGCGGGTTTCATCCTTGCTGCCTTGCTCTTTGAAACTGCGGATGACGAAACGATAAGCGAGCATTTAGCGAAGGGTTTAAGGCTAGAAGAGTCCCCATAGAGTCGAATTGGCCAATGAGTACGGAGTACATTTGTACGAAATACAAGAATGGATAAAAAATGTTCTGTTGTTTTGGTTGATTTTCTCCATCCAGAGCTCTGATCTGACGAGGAAATGTCAGCGATCAAATCCATTGGTCGCGAATAGCCATCAATTTGGCTTATCCCTCCTTCGTTGTGGGAGGCACAAAGGATGACATCAACCCGCCGAAATTCTCCTAGTCTGTTTCTTTTGTTGAAGAACCAGCATGGTGGGGATCAGGAAGAGCAAGAGAAAGGAGGTGCTCGCAAGCTGTACACTGCAGTGCTTCCTGGGATAGCAGGAAACATTGACCAGGTCTTGGGAGACAAACCGTGAAAGGATTTCTTCCTGGGATATTCAGCTTGCCTGTAGAGCAGGCCTTCGTACGGAGTACTGTCCTGAGTGAATACGAACTATCGCCATTTGTTCCAGCCAATTCCTTCCCAATCTCGCTGAGAACTGGCTAAAGGTTGAAAAAGATCAATATGTCCCCGTTTGTTGGTTTTCCTGGTACGACTCTACACATCCGTAGAATATCGTTCGCAATGCATCTCAATGTATGTACTGTACTCCGTACATATTACCTCCCAGAGTTGAAGTAACAGATCATGCAATGTTCTGTGATCGCATAGCAATCAAACCCCATGCTAGGTGACTGTGTCTTTTGTGTGTTTCTTCACTTGCCTGGGATTCAGCAAACAACTCTGTCTTATCTATATATTAATTCAAACAAGTCAGATGTGTCGCACCACATCGATATATTCACTTTTAAGACAGAGAAGCTAGCGGGAGATTTATACCACGCTTGTTAATATCAAGAGCAAATCATCCTGAATGAGACATCTTTCCTTTACGTGACAATTATATAGTTATATAAAAGTTATGAGAACACAATGTATACAGTATTTCACCAACCCCTTATATATAAAATCTTCATAGCTATAACTAGCAGGTTTGAATAGAGTTAATGGAAGAGGAAACCTCATATTACAATGCAACTTGTTAACAACTCAGATGAGAGAGGATTTTTCTATTTATTCATGCAAACTATAGTTTGGCAGTAACAGTGGTGACTGTCTTGATGTTTTGAATGGAAAATTGTATGCTAGATCCTGATGGTGATGAAAATGACCGCTCTGAATATGCTGTTCGCAGGGCCGCTGTCACGAGGGGCTAATGATGCTTGTGCTGTTTACTGTTGTCAGTGAAAGGAAAGTGGGCTTGGAGCTGCAAGTCTAAGTAGTAAGGTGGGAGTGCAGGAGAAAATTACCGCTTACAATCATGCACGCAACATTTTAACTTGGAGCCCAGTACGCTGTACGTTCTGGTCTAGAGATTTGATTCACCAGGCTAGGGGCCCAGGACATTTTAAGGCTGCTCTAAGCAGTGGAGGGATGTAAATAAAAATATAGAGGTCCGGGGTCTGGATTGAGGAGTTATGAGATGAAAGAGCAATGACATCCGAGCAAAATCAAAACAAATACTAATAGCTAGAAATACAAACATGACGAACATCAAAAAAGACGATAAGTCATGTTGGACAAGAGATAATTGACACTAAACTCCCCCATGAAATCTAAGCCAAGAAGGAAAAACATGAGATAAAAGCTAGAAGCTATACGGTATGCTTGCCAGAACGGATGGGTTGTACAGGACATTATATATGTAACAGGCGGAGGGTGCGGACGCGTATATTACAGTGTTGATGATGATGATGAGGATGATGATGAGTGTTGCATTTCAAAATGGGCCATTGAGTAAAATGAAGAAACCCGATAATATAGCCATGTGCCATATGTATCATCAGCGGGGGCTGGAGAATAAGATAAATCGGATACGAAAACGCCGGAACATGGAGAATTAATATACCAAAAAAAAGGAAATACACCAAAAAGAAAATACACTAAAATGTCCCAAAAAGATATCTGTTTTTGTCACATCGCCTCAGTCTCAAAAAGTGAAATAGCAGGTGAATCCATCAGACCCATCATTGTCTATTGTAGAACAATAGTCCCTGTCTCTTCCTCCATCTTATCTTGCCGTTTGCGCCATGCCCTGCCTTCCTGGCTAATCCTTTGCAATTGGATCTGATACGCGTTATCTTCGATGGTCTCATCGTCGTCAAGGCCAAGACTAAGTTCCCTCCGTCTCTGGCATGCTGAGTAGGTTGCCCACGCGCGATCCGGTTTATTGAACATAGTAAATGTATACTCTATATCCCATTTGTCTTTGGAAGAGAAAAAAGTTGGTCGCTCAACGGGCTTGCCATTTACCTTGCTTTGGATCGTTATGGCCATGGCAAATATTGGTTTTGTGCAGGGGTCCACGGGATCGCCAGTATGGAAGTCGGCTGCCGCTTTTCCTCCAGAAATTTCCTTCTCTGGAGCGTCATCCGCAATTCCTGACGCCGATGCACCAGCCTCAGCGCTAGTTTCCGATGATGATGCTTGAAGGGATGTCCCTTCCTTTCCCAGTGCATTTTCACCTTCCTGCTCGAGTTCGTCGGGGAATAATAGTTTCTTTTGGACATTCTCAATTTCCGCCTTATTGCGATTTTGAATCTCTTCGATTTGCTCCTCCGTCACGGGCTCCGCAAATACATACATGCAGGGTATTTGAGTCTCACGGGTCTCAAAATGGAAGCGCAGCGATTGGTTGGGGAATTTTTCTGTAGCCTTGGCTAAAACTTTGTCCCAGAGGGAGACACTGAGTTGAAACTCCGCGTCGCCGAGGGCAGTGTCCGTTTGACCATGAAGGGCCAGGTCCATTTCGGGCAAGCTGACATATTGGAAGCCGAAGATGCGTTCAATGTTGTGGAAAGCAACGAAGATGCCATCCATACGACCGACGCGGACCTGGAGGGAATATTTCAGGAACGCCGCGCGGATCATGTCGAAGTACTCGCGCTCGAATGACTCCCATTTCCCAAATCGGCCTTTAATTTGGTACCCAAGCCCACGATCGTAGTGCTTCGTATTCATCCGGATCGATACCACAGCACGAGTCTTCAAGTCAAACATGCCGGTGCCTGGAAGCCGGGGGTCATAGGCATCTAGCTGTGCCCTCATAAGGAAGTTGCCGCAGGTGGTATAATGATAAGTTTCAGGCGAAACAGTGTCAGGCTTAACTTTGTCGGTACTCGATCGCCGGTATCGCTCGAACTCTTCCGTAGGCATAGTAAGTAGTTTCTCCATTGACCTGCCCAGGTTCATCAGAATGTTCGCATTGTCGTATTCCTTGTCCGCATCGATAGCGTAAACGCCATCCTTATAACGTAAAAAGACGGCGGACGGCGCCCGCAAGATCTTTGTGAAGTTCTTTGCTACGTCTGAAAAACCTTGTGAAAGAGAACTAGTGTTCAAGGGCCGCCAGGCGGACAGCAAATAGTGGAAATGTGACAGCACAGATGTCATGCTTGAAGAAGACCCTATGTACTTCTTGCCGTGGCAAACGGCCAACTCGCGCAGCCCGTCATCCCGGGAGGAAGTTATGTACTCATTGAGTGCGGAGAAGTCGAATTCCTTGACGGGCATGATCGATCCCAGATAGGGATCAAAGTTGTATACTCGCGTCCTCGGGTCCTGAAGATGGTAAACACCAGGGCTATAGTAACAATTTGTTAGCAGGATATTTCTGGAGAGAAGTCGATATTCGCTTACTTGAACAATGCCCTTTCTAAACCGTATGAGAGTCTCGGTACCGGTGCACCCTCAATGCTAAGAGCTGGATATATATGTATATTTTTTAGCTATGAAGACGGCTATGAGAACGAAAGTAAGCCACATACGGGTTAATGATAAACTTGTCGACTCCAGAATGCCGCTTTGTGTGCCACCTGTTGCTTGGGGGTGCTTCTCCCGCTTTTTTCGCGGGGACCTCGGTGGAGCGATATTCTCCATTTGCTGCCTGGTGTGTCTTGGGTGCTGAACATTTTTAGCGGAATGAAAAATCGCATTGTCCTGACGGGCATGATGAAGGGACTACATTCAAATAAGCTGTTTGAATCTTCAACAAGTGGTTCTAGGGCAAGGATTATGATAAACTAACGGGCCGATCTTTTCTGGGTCGATTAGGAGATGTCCTCGGCTGTGGTTTTGCAGGTGCATGCACGGCCTTTTTTTTTCGCGGTTTGACAGCTGTTTTACTGTCCAAATGTCTTCCAAGAGAGGGGTTCGCGTTTGCTTGTTCCTTGACATTGTCAACTTTTCCGGCTTTCTTCGGTTTATGAGCCTTTTTCTTTGGTTTTTTACCGCTTCCTGGGGTTGCCTTCAATGCCAATTTGATATTAGCATCTCATAATCTAATCTTTGTTCGTAGGGAAAGATGCGCCAAAGGAAAATAGGCACGGTGCTTGTTGAGTGGAGAATGAGGGAAAATATAGGGTACGGATGGCTGTGACCGTACCCTGGGAGCACCACTCACCGAAATCGTCCCGCTTCCCTGCGTTGGAGGGGGATATTTTATGTTAACTATTACAGATGGATTTGTTGGTTCAGAGTTCACATGGGCAGTAGTGAGAGAGCGACGAAAAGAGGGAAGAGCATGAGCACGGAGCCCAACTTCAGCGACTAGACAAGATAAGCAGATAAAACCACTCATGGGCCGTGTGGAGGACTTGAGAGATCTCCTAAGCATTCCAGCGGTTGTCTGATAACGAGAAATAGGGAGATAGGAGGTGGTGAGAATAGTAGTCAAAAATCATCAACGGAGAGTTAATTAAAACGCGTAGAACCAACGTGTTGTAACGAAGAAAAAGAAAGAGAACAAGATAGAAGGAGAAGGAGAAGGTGAAGAAGGGAAGAGGGGGCCCCTTTTGAGGCTCGAGAAGCAGCAATTGAACCTTACAGAGGTCCACGAGAAAATTAATGAGAGAATGAAGCTGTTGAACGGCAAAATCTCTGCCAAAAAAAAAAAAAAAAAAAAAAAAAAAACAGCTATAAAGTCACGTGAGGATCTGCTAGAGCGTGCCGCTGTTAGGTAAGCAGATGCAAATGTCCAGGTAGCTACATTTGACAGTAAAAGAAGGCCTCTTAAATTTGTTACGTGTGTGTTAAGTGCATTAAATTTATATTATCTTGTACCGCTGTCTCATTGCGACATCTCTGAAAATACCTTGACGTCGGCGAAAAGTTTCCCAGGTCCGGCGCAAAAAATCCAGAACACCACAAAAAAAAAAAAAAAAAAAAAAAAAAAAAAAAATACACGAGTATAGAAGAAGGAAAGATACGGGTTTTTGATGCCTTGACGTGCCGCTGGTCCCGTGTTTATATCCTCGGATTGTAAGTGAGATATCTTCGCCTTCTGCTGTTTTACACTGGTTGTATTTCCTTCCTGTTCGTTTTGTGCCTTGGGTGCTTTTCCATAGCTCCAACCAACCCCGCGATACTCGAATGCCCTCTCCATGATCTATTTTATATTAGTTCAGAACCAGGCTGTCAATGTCACTATTGGTACTCAGATATTGGCAATCAATAGTTAAGATTATTTTAGTTGTTTATTTAACATAGTTTATGCTAGGTTTGAATAGTCAATTTTCAATATGCGCCCCTCATTTGGTTGGAGGATGATTTGAATCAAACACTGAAGGGGCCCAATTTTTGGTTTCTCTTTGGCGTTCCTTTCACGTTGCTCCAATGCTATGTCATACATGTATACAATGCCTCTATCCTGGTTGTTTCTCAAGTTCATACAGCGCATGTTACCCGCGATGGAGGATTTTCTAACTCGAGTTCCTAGTCCAAGGGCGGAGAAGTGAATATGCTGCAGGAGAGACTGCGCGTCCTTGTTGTTGGGAGTGGCGGTCGAGAGCATGCGTTTGCTTGGAAGCTCAGCCATTCACCAAGTGTCGATATCGTTTTTGTCGCGCCGGGAAATGGAGGTACTGCCTCAAGCCACTCTAAGATAGCCAACATCGACATCAAGGCCGATGACTATGCAGGATTGGTAACGTTCTCTCAGAAGAACAATGTCAATCTTGTCGTTCCAGGCCCTGAGGCTCCGCTGGTGGATGGCATACAGAAATTCTTTCAGTCGGGTTAGTCACCCCAGCAATCTTCCCCTGGATTAGTTAACACGCAAAGGAGAAGAAGAAGGGAGATATAAGGATTAAAATTATGATTAGAGAAACCTGAACTGCAGTTTAACTGAAAATTAACAATATTTGCAGTTGGAATTAGATGTTTTGGCCCTTCCCAGGCTGCTGCACGCATGGAAGGCTCGAAGACATTCTCCAAGGACTTCATGAAACGCCACAACATCCCGACCGCTGCCTACGAAAACTTCAGCGATTACGCAAGTGCAAGTAGATATCTAGACTCCGTCAATCATGATGTCGTTATCAAGGCCAGTGGCCTTGCTGCTGGAAAAGGGGTTATCATCCCCCAGTCGAAGGAGGAAGCTCAAAAGGCACTAAGGGAAATGATGCTTGATCGACAGTTTGGAGAGGCCGGAGACGAGGTTGTAATCGAAGAGTTCCTTGAGGGAGACGAACTCAGTATTCTTACATTCTCCGATGGGTACACGGTCAGGTCGCTCCCGCCCGCGCAGGATCACAAACGCATCTTCGACGGAGATCAAGGTCCCAACACGGGAGGCATGGGTTGCTATGCGCCAACGCGAATTACATCAAAGGAAGTGCTTGATGAGATCGACAAGACTGTTATTATCCCTACCATTAGCGGAATGAGGAGAGAAGGTGATATTGGGTCTTCTTCCGTGATCTGCACTTCGAGAGAGACGACTAATTGGGCTTTCTAGGTTTCCCATTTGTTGGAATTTTATTCACTGGACTCATGATGACCAAGAATGGACCTAAGGTCCTTGAATACAATGTCCGTGGCGGTGATCCAGAAACACAAACTCTTCTGCCTCTCCTGAGTGATGACACTGATCTAGCCGAGGTGATGATTGCTTGTACTGAGCATTGGCTTGATGGTGTGACGATAAAAATTGAGCCGAAATTTTCCGCCACTGTAATTGCTGTCGCAGAGGGATATCCAGGTTCCTACGCGAAGGGCCGGGATATTTCCCTGACTCCACCACCGGCGGCAAATACCCTGATTTTCCACGCAGGCACCACTCTAACAAACAATCACCTGAAAACATCCGGTGGTCGTGTTATCGCGGCAACATCCACAGCTGCCACGCTCGAGGATGCAGTAAGCGACGCCTACGCCGGAATTTCTACTGTCAACTTCCAAGGGATGCATTACCGTAAGGACATCGCACACCGCGCCTTTAGATCCACATCCGCCTCCAATGCTGAACCCCTCACCTACGCCGCTGCCGGCGTCTCCATAGACGCGGGCAACGACCTCGTCAAGCAAATCAAAGCCAACGTCGCCCAGACCCGACGCCCAGGAACTGACGCCATAATCGGCGGTTTCGGCGGCACCTTCTCCCTCTCAACCTGCAACTCAGGCTTCCACCCTTCCTCGCCAACTCTAATCGGCGCCATCGACGGTGTCGGCACCAAGCTCGCCATCGCCCATGAAATGCGCGTGCACAACACCGTCGGCATGGACCTAGTGGCCATGAACGTCAACGACCTCGTTGTCCAGGGCGCTGAGCCCCTCTTCTTCCTCGACTGCTACAGCTGCGGCAAACTCGATGTCGCCACGGCTGCAGCATTCGTGTCCGGCGTTGCTGCCGGCTGCGTCGATGCCGGCTGCGCACTGATCGGTGGAGAAACGGCTGAGATGCCTGGGCTATACGCGGGCACGGCTTACGACGCTGTCGGCGCTGCGGTGGGTGCGATCGACACGGCGAAGCGCACGGTCCTGCCGGACATAGAGCGGATGCAGGTCGGCGACGTGCTCCTCGGGCTGGCCAGTAGTGGCCCGCACTCCAACGGATACTCTCTGGTGCGGAAAGTTGTCGAGCGCTCGGGCCTCTCGTACCACGATGCTGCGCCCTTTGAGACCGCGGCTCCGTCGCTCGGTGCTGCGCTGTTGACCCCTACGCGGATCTACGTCAAGCCGCTCCTGGCGGCTCTCGCGGCGGCTCCCGGTGCGATTAAGGGTCTTGCGCATATTACCGGTGGCGGACTTGTGGAGAATATCCCGCGCGCGCTCCCAAAATACCTGACAGCGCTTGTTGATGTGGCGTCGTGGCCACTTCCGCCGGTGTTTAGGTGGCTGAAGAAGGCTGGGGGAATTACGGGCTCGGAGATGGGGCGGGCGTTTAATAACGGGATTGGCATGGTTATTGTTGTTGAAAAGGAGGATGTGGCACTTGTGAAGGGATTGTTGGAAGGAAAGGGGGAGAAGGTATTCGTTGTTGGAGAGTTGGTTGCGCGTGGAGAAGATGAGGGTTGTGTGTTGAAAAGCTTGGAAAGTTGGGAGTAAGATTGATGGATGGATGGATGGATGGATGGATGGATGGATGGATGGATGGTTATGGGATTTGCGTCATATCTTTTATGACATTCATTTTTGATAGATCTTTTATGCCGCCATGTGGTTAGTTTAGTGTTCGACGCATCGTTCACTCACGTAGGTTTGTTAACAACAAAACAAGGAATCGGTATATTTGTTTGGCTATTTCCCGCTAGTATCTCCCGTTTAATCAACTTAGTAGTACTTTGTGGCCAGATATGTTAATATTTATAGAAGTGTATGTGTTTGTCCAGCGCTTGGGTGGCGCCGTTCCTACTTAATCCAGGAGCCAATCAGAACCCGCTACATAACCTTATTTCAACCTCCTTGTTGTTCACGGCAAATCCCACCAAAGCAGGTCCATGTTTGTTTGTCAAAAGGCAGTTTCCTTCGTCCGCGGACGCCAGATAACAACAGTAGGAAAGTCAGCTTATGTGGAAAGAATAGGGTTTCTTCAAGAATATAAGTGACTATTCAATTTAGTTTAACTAGAGAAAAGTATGAAACATGAAACATGCAATCATGAGAGTACTGCACCGGGGAAAAGCAGTAATTTTCATACTAGGATGTTCGTTCAAATTGTGTACGTTTCTCAAAGGTCCAATAACTGGATAAGGAAATCATCAATGACAGATATATGGGGAATGGTGCTCTCTCAGGAAAGAAAATGCGAGACAGGGGAATCAAGGGGCAAAGTAGGGAAGGGATATCCAAATCAAGGATCAATGTGACGTTCTCGAACAGGAGCAAATCAAAGAGGCATAGCTAATGCAGCTGGCACACATGAACTGAAAAAGCATCAAGGAGGGATTCTGAGATTCTGCTGTAACGGGGGATCGGATATCAGCGGGGATTTCTCAGCGGCGCCATCAGCGAATGGAAAACCGAACGCATCGACAAGAAGATGGAGAAATGCGTAGGGGTGAACAGTGGATGGATGGGCGCTAGACTCACAAGAAGGAAATTCATGATCCGTATCCGGCACCGAAATGAATGGAATGCGCGGGCGGATTAATGTCCGTTTGGTTGGCGCTCGTGTTCGGGACACCAATCATAAATGTACTCCACATTCCAGTCTTCTTGGACACAATCGGGGTAATCAGAACACGGGCCGTCGATAGGGGTTCTGCTCTTCAGGCAGAAGCACCGATAGTAAATAGTGTACATCCTACACATTATGGCGGATTGCGTGGAAAACCGTGGATACGAGGGAGAATGGGAAACCTATCCCTACAGAAACTAGAATACCGACAACTAAACGGTTAGTTCTGGTGATGTCTCAGACTCTGTTAAACATACCGCGCAACCTAGGGCAACCCACGACGTGCACACTCCGCGCAGTTTCTCTCCAGATGGACAGTCGCGAAGTCCAAGCGGGTGCACCCCTCGATAGCGCAGAGATTGAAGACTTCACCTGCCAAACACTGACACTTGTAGGTGGTTCTAACAGTTACACACATGTGATGGCAGTCGCGAAAGCGAGCTCTTATAACCAGTAGCACAAGCTGTTTGCTCAAGAAGAACAGCCGTTTACCTAACAATACAGACAACGCGGGCAGTAATCTTCAAGATAGACGTCGACCCAATCACTATCGCAATCAGGGTACTGGTCACAGTTATTGGAAGACTCTGATTCTAAATGCATGCACTTGTAGTAGGTACAAACTCGATAGCACATTGCTGACCAGCCAGAAGGAAATGTCAACTTGTTGCTTGCTGGAAGTTACTGTTGTGACGAAGTGTATTGGAAGCACAATAAGCAGTGCGCGTAAGGAGAACGAGGTAGATGGGTTCTGACCTTTCTCGCAGGTTGTGGGAAGGGTGAAGGGTAGATAGAGAGCGAGGTTCTTCTTCCTAAAAGTATTGCAGGTGGCGTTTTACTTTTCGGGGAATGGAGAAGTGGACATAGACAGGGGGGGGGGGGGAAACAGAGTATAGATCGACTGACTAAATTCTTATTTGGACCTCGAGTATGAAGGAAATAATAGAAGTAGAAAAGAGAGCAAGAAAGCCAGGATATGAGAGTCAATTTATATTTTATATACCCTGAAGCTTCCTCGCGAATCTCCACCCCCTTGACAGGAAGATGCCGTACCGGCATCCCCCCGGCCCCCTCCCGGATTGGTAATATTAACATGTTCTATAAATATTGAAAGCAGCTATTGTTCCACTTGAAAGATGAAAAAAGACAAAATGACACAAATCATCATTGATTGTATCACATGGCACCCCCGACGCAATGTGCCGTTTGGTGCCCAAGAGGCTGATGGCTAACAAACGGAATGAAGACGATCACCCACTGGCAAGGCGGAATACCGAGCGAAACTGAAAGCCGTGAGGCTGCGCATTGTCGGGTCTATTAAGGCTCTGAAAGGGTATATAAATAGGTGACAAAGGGCGTGACCACGATGCGAAAGAGACGTAGTGTGATTCGGTCCTGGGTTGCACAGTGCGGCAGATACCATCATCTTTGTATTCACACATTGGGTTTTCAAAGGGTTGAGATGCCGCAACAAAACCGCATTGTCACTGAAGAAAACTGGCATGATGTTGAATTAAGCTTAAGCGCTACACTCAGCTGCGTTAGACTAACCCTAAGTCCGGTTATCGTTTCCTCTGTCTCAGAGAGCCAAGGGGGACTTTGAGAAATCCGGCCAGCAAGACTAACTTTGGCGGTGACTAGTTTAGCATCGCCAGTACCGTACCTTAGTAGCCAGCCCTGTCTGGGTCTTCTGTATAACTACTGATGAGTATTTGGATGTTGATCACTAATGTTATTGCAATCATTAGTTATCTATTCCAAGTACATGTACATGTACATTTGAATGCTGAGCCGCGATCACTGGGAGCCTGCGGGATCGGCTAAGTTCCTTGGTATTATAGACAAGCTGTATCTAGACAAACCAAAGCGTAGGAGTAAATCTAGAAAAATTCCAGAACACCTTATCTGATGCAAGGTACCGCTGGACTGGGGAACGCTAGAATCTTCTGTTGTAATCCTATGTTACATTTCAGCAGTCCAGCAGTCAATGTTTTGGAAGTAAGCTTAAGAAGCTTGAGGCTTGTATAAAGTTTAGCTGTCCGGTTCATTAGTTTGGTATATGGCTAGATCGATTCATTTTGACGTCTATGTAAATTTCTAGTGATGCACATCTTCATCTAGCAAAAAAGAATAAATGAAGAAGAGAACCGGAAAAGCGAGTACAATAGCAATACAAAATAAGATCATTAAAATAGAAATTAAAAATAAGATAAAATAAAATAAAATAAAGTAAAGTAAAGTAAAGTAAAGAATTTAGTAGTAGCCCTATTCTTCCCTAGCACAGCGTCAAAATCCAGCCGTTTCGCGCGCTCGGAAACTCAGAATCTCGTTCCCGAACCTCGGACCAACTCTATCGAGAATCAGAGTTTTTAACTTTGATCCTCATCGGAACTTGTCCTGATCGCAAATACAGAATCAAATCATGGTTTGGGATCAAAAAAAAGCCAAAAAGGGGAGTTAGATTGATGAAGGCTATAACTATATACATTTTCAGTAACTGTGTAAACATCACGCCTTCGCTGTAGCTTGACTATTTAGAACAGTTGCGTTCATTGCTCGCAATCAATCAAGGATGGCTTCATTTCAAACAACCTCGCCAAGTCCAGCACATGGCCATATCCTCGAAAGATATATGCTATCTATATCTATAGATATATATATTAATATTGGAGTAAATCATCTTCTCTGCATATGTACATTTTTCCCCTCCTCTGGGTATATGACGCCCGCTTTTCCAGAAAGGGTCATCTCAAGTCCTCCACTTTCCCAAACCTCCTGCACTCAGTGTCTCAATATATATACAGATAGAAAAAGAGAAAAAAAAAAAAAAAAAAAGAAAAAGAAAAAGAAAAAAGAAAAATTACGGTGCGCCGGTATACAGCTGCTTTCCCCCCTTCTTAAAGGCGAGAATAACCTTCTGCCCACGAGAACCGACAACCCACTTGGCAAATTCCTTCGCGAGCTGCAGATCCTGCGCCTGCGCGCCAATCAGCAAGTGCGCTGGGTTAAGCAAGGGGTCGTCGGCGTGGTCACTGCCCTCTTTGTAGATGACGATGTTGTCGCGGACTTCCTGGGTGACGGACAGGAAGGTACCGCGGTCTGTGATGGTGTATTCTTCCAGCATGGAGGCGGCGTGGAGGGCCTGGATGGGGTACGCGATGTATTGGTGGTACCATTTTGCTTCGGGGTTGGCCCAGGGGACCTTTTTAAGTATTTTAGTTTGATTTGTTTGTACAATATATATATATATATATATATATATATATATATATATACTGGGCAAACTGAGAGAGAGGAGGGAAAACGAAAAAAAAAAATGGGAGCTTACCTGTCCAATGCCAATAAACAGCGATGAATCCTTAATATTCGTAGCAGATTTGTCGAACCTGGTCAGGAACCTGGTGGGCGGCTCCGTGGTCCCACGCTCGGCCGCCTTGAAGATATCCGAAATCATTTTGAGGATCTTGTCTTTCTTGTTCAGTTTCGCAGGGTTGGACCGGGGTCCGATGAGCATGAAATGGTCACGCCAGGCATAGTAGCTGGGGCGCAGGGCGATGCCCTCCTCCATGGCTAGGTCCTCCGCAACGGGGCTGTAGGTGAAGGCGACGTCGGCAGCACCGCTCTGGAGGTTGTTGATAGACTCGGTGGTATCGCTCTTGATCCAGGCAATTCGGAACGGTTCAGCACCATGGTCGACTCTGAACTTGATAAAAGCGTCGGCAAGTTCTTATTTGGCAAGTCGGGTTAGTTGGATTGTTTGAAGATTTGTTTGAATCCATCCGTAAGGTATCCATGCACGGTGGTTGGTGAATTTCTTTCTTTCTTTCTTTCTTTCTTTCTTTCTTTCTTTTCCCCCTTACCTCTAATCAGCCCACTTTGGCCAGCACCCCCATTGGCAATCCTGAGCGCGATAGTATCATTATCATGGTAGCCCGCATCGTACACTTCCTCCAGATCCGCTGCATGGACTCCGGTGGTTGCGAATTGCAGTAGGCATGCCAAAGCAAGCGACTTCACAAGAGACCGCATCATGATTGCTGTGTCTCCGCCGTTCTTCAAGGAGCAAAAAAAAAAAAGAAAGAAAGAAAAAACAAAACAAAACAAAACAAAACAATAGCAAATATCACTTTTCAACAAAAAAGGGGAACACATGGTTCCATTGCTTTGGAGAGAAAGGAGAGAGAGGAAAGACAGAGAGCGCAATGCTTTGTTTCATATACTGCGGGCTGAGCACCTCCGCTGGTGAGATGCAACAGAGTTTGCAGCGATCGACATCACTCTCTCCCTAGTCTACGTCGTGGCCAGCTGGGAGGTGATATTTCTTTTTCGAGGTCCGCAAAAGGGAAAAAAGCGGGACGGGGAGGAAGAAGCGACGAGAGGACAACTAGTGGCCTCTGGTTACCGACTACCACTTGCTACCCTTGAGCGGGGCGGACGATCCAGAAGAGGGTAGCCCGCCCGAAGCTACAGCCTCCGCTCGGGGAGTCGGAGACGGGAGAACTCGACGACATCGTCTGGATGGGGACAACGTGTGTGTAGGTGATTCGTGTAACTCAATTTTCAGACTCGTACCCAGGCCACCGGCCCAGAGAGCGCATCGAACAGGCCTTCACCGTGAGCCGGGACGGTCGGACAGGGTCAACACAGGGAAAATGCAAGGGCAGCAGGGTAATGGCCACAACGCTGGTTCGTTGACGAGTTCATCTCAAAAAAAAAAAAAAAAAAAAAAAAAAAAAAAAAAAAAGGCGGAAAAATAAACGCAAAAGTCAAGGTTCGATTATGTCAGTGAACCAGACAAACTCTGCTTGGAAAGTATGGAAAAAGTATAAGTATACACCAAGTTAACTAACCCGCATTTAGGAAATGAATTCTTTTGCTTCATAGCACTCCATTATTAAATGTATGGAATTAATATGATATATATGGCTATCTCTGAGCTGTATTTTTATATTATATTTGTATATAGTTCCTACTGGGGTGTGGCCGTGGAAGTTACAAAGTAGTGTTTATATTCTGACCTACATTGTATCTACGGAGTATTAAATGAAGATATGAAATCTATCCGGGGACAAATGTTACATCTAGCTCTCTTATTTATTACTTACCCATTTGTTGAATTGATAACCACTAGTTATTTAGTTATTCCCACTCAAAGACTTCTTCTCCAAAAAATGTAGCCGATGCACGCCAATATTCTTCATGATGAAGAATTAAAATTTATTCTTCAAATAGGTGGCAGACACTGTGGTACTCTGATTGAGTGGGTTTAGCCTGCAAATTCTTCACGAACCAAAGCACCCAGGTTCTCATGCTGTGATGTGCCCAATAGTAACTAGCCACAACCGTGTCGTGGTTTTCCAGCCCCGGGACCAATGAGAAGCTGGTGCAAACTCTATCTCGCACTAGAAAAGCATCCAGCAGATGGGATCTGTGACTTCTGCAGTGGTTGGGCGGACTTGTCTGGTGGACGGCTTGAGACAGTGCGAGTTGTCGGCGACATCTCGACGCTGTCCCGGTCCATGCCTTGGGAGGGCAAGCTGGATCCGAGATGAAAGGCAGCAAGGTCCCCACGAGGATCGAGAGGGAACACATCCAAGGGATATAGTTTATGGGCAGAATTTTGGATAACTTAACTACGAGTTGCTGTATGCGAGTCCCCGAATCCGAACCATCCCGTCTCCAAGAGCATCGATTTCACCAGGAACTCCCTTCTGCACCCGCCACCTGTCAACACATGGGAAGCAGGGAAATGAGCGCTTTTCGGTTTTTCAGCTGTCATGGTTCCGTCCAGAGCAGCCGCCCACACTTGCCAGGGACTGCATTTGTGGTTCCCATCCTGTGGTTCCGGGCACGGGGTGGTGCCAACGATGACCACCTACGACGCAAGGAATGTTGGATGAGCGTGTCCAGTTCTCAAGCTCCATCTCGAAAAATTTTCGTCGATGTGACATCATCAAACTACGTCTAGGGGTCTAGTTAACTACGCTGTAACGAACTAGCGGTGGAGCTTGATATCAGCAATAGCTCAACTTGATTTTGGGTATCATCAAAAAAACCGATTTGACGCATTTGTCATTATAGGCTGCCCTCGTATCGGAGTACCTCAAGGGTGGGTTCCACCGGAAGAAGCTAATTAATACTACTTGGCTTGACTATGGGCTTGATGGCCATGGAGCTGCTGGCATTCTTGCTGATCTCCTCCATATTGACATGCACGATTGTATGGGGCTTGACAACCTCGAGAGACACGGTGTACTTACCAATGCCCTACCTATTTTGTCAATGGTGATTGATGCAAGGACTCGAAGACGCTGATAACTAGTGGTTTCGTTCCAAAGGAATGTATACTGGACCCTGTACAGATGTACTCTGTGCTCGGTACGGAAGGGTTCAAAAAATCTCCATTATTCCCGCAATTTTCCGACTACAGCCCTCCCGCCTTTTGGCTTTTTCTTCCTGTTTTCATATCCGAAGTACGGAGTACTCATAGTGTCATAGCCAAGCCAACTTGGAGTCAACAGCCAAAGAAACAATCAAGCCAGCCGAATGCATGAAAAACCAATAGTCGAATTCTAGTGACAACTAACCAACTAACCCCCAGAAGTTTTCAAGACGCAAACAAACCTGCAAGACACAGAGTAACTCCCCTCTCTCTAACCCATTATCTCCTCGTCAATAACAATCACATCCCTTTCCCCTCCGTTCCCACTCCCACTCTCTATCCCCGCCACCCCCTCCAACCTCTCAAGCTTCCCCAACACCTCTGCCCGCCTCTCCCCGTTCACCACCAGCTCCCCCACCGCCCGTGCGCGCCTCGCTTCCACCACCCGCAGCTCCCCAGGTAACCAATCCAACTTAGCCCTCGTCGCCTCCTCCTCGCGCCGCAGCCACACAAGCTTCTGCTCCGCCGCGCGACGCTCGCCGATCAACGAGGCAAATTCGTCCTCGGCCTGCTTCGCCCACGTAGCAAGCTCCGTCCGCCGAGTTTCCAGCGCGCGCAGCCGGGAGAGGAGGAGCTCGTGTGGTTGGGTGCTGGTGCTGGTGCTGGCTCTGCCAAGTTGGCCCGTCCTGGCGGTTGGACCGTGGCTATTGCCTGCGGTGCTGGTAACGGGAGCAGGAGCGGCGGCGGCGGCGGCGGTGGGGACCGCCCTCGCTGATACTACTTCATCGGCAAAGGCGGTAGCGCTGCTGCTTTGAGTGGCCAGCGATCGTAGGGCGGTGGTGAATTTGCCGGGCTCCTTTTTGCGCGCTGCGGAATGTAGCTTTGGGCGTTTGTTGCTGCTGCTGCTGCTGCTCTCGCTACCACTACCACTTCTGCTGCTACTGCTGCCCTGGTCCCCTGAGGCGGGGGGGCGGGGGTGCACCTTTCCCGACACTTGGTATGGGTGGAGATGCGGCGGGGATTCACGTGCCGGGTCGCGGTCTACCCTCTGCGGTTCTTGCTGCTGAGCCTGCTGCCCTGACTCCGGCTCCGACTCTGGCTCTGTTGGATCCATTGCAGAGAAATGGTCTAGTGTCTTTGTCGGCAGAGTTAGACCTCCTGTCCGTCGTCGAGTGAACCGAATCATGGTCTGCTTTTCTCCCCAGGACGGCGGTTCATTATCACCAGGCATCTAAGAGAGGAGCTGGGTAACTGTTAATAATATATATATATAAAAGGGAGGGGATCCGGTCCGGAGGGAATGCAAGGTATCTCTATCTATCTTCCTATTCACTGGATGGCGATTCACTGGACAGTAAACTATGCGTACCTGGATAAGCAAAAAAGCCAAAGATTGTAGAATCTCAACGAAGCGGCAGGGAATAATCATAAAATCATAAAATCATAAAATCATTCCCGACCCCCCCCCCCCCCCCCTCCCCCCCGCGTAAACTGCCCTATGCAGCGTGTTTCTGGATGCGTTCTGTAGTATAGATATAATCGCTAGCTATATCGATCTACCTGCTTTTTCCCCCCGTACATTGAATGTACAGTAGTACATATATACCAAGTAGGCGATACTCCAGCCCACATGCAAGAACGGGGAAACATGGCTGCCCAGGACGGGAAAGGGGATTCGAGGAGAAGACGGGGAAGGAGAAGAAGCCGAGCGACGCAGATGCTGCTGTTGTGGGCATTGATTTCCTCGTCGCAGCCGTGGGCCATCTCAATGCAATGCGCTCCTCTCCGTTTTCCGTGCCTGTTGTGCGCTTGTTGCTGTTGCTGTTGCTGGTGCTGGTGCTGGAGGGTCAGTGTTGAGGATTTTATTTACATGGGCATTGAGCTATTGGTGATGCGCGGAACTGAATTCTACCCATGCAGAGAGATAGAATATCGATACCAGCAACGGCTCTCATCTGGTAATAGTATCGAGGATTTTTCTAAGTGTGGGGCCCGTTTTGTCGCTCGCGGGCTTTGCTTGGGTCGTGTAATTGGAAACTGCCACGGGAGGAGTATAGGGGATGGATAAGGTATACACACATATATATACATATATATACCAATAAACGAAATGGCCCATGATAAGTGAGCTTGGATATCTCGTACATGCACAGTACATGTACGCGGATGTGTCTAATCGGTAATACACTGATGATAGTAGACACAAGGGAAAATATAAAGAAGAAAATTAAGGAAGCATTAAAAAGGCGCCGAGAAACCGTGATAGATACCCAAAGGAAATAGGGAAATAGGGAAATAGGGAAATGGGAAAATATACGCCCTCTCTACCGATAAATACCTGAAGCCCTCGCAATCTCCTCTACAGACCGCTGCGCAAAATCCACCGCATCACCGCCCCTCCGCCGATGCGGGCTCCGCGAATGACGACGACTCTCCCTGCTCCCGCTCAACAAATCCTCATGCTCAATATTCTCAAACGAAACATCACTCCGATTCTTCCTCAGACCGGCTCCCCCATATTCATCATAGCCACCACTCCCATACGCCAAATCATCCTGGTCACTGCTGCCGCCACCCCCACCAAACGCTCCCGCCGCGTCCCGCGGATCGAGACGCAGGTTCCGCTGCTCACGATCAAAGGCAGATAAAAGGACACCGAGCCGTTCCTTCTGCGACGCAATATACTCCGCCTGTTCCGCCTTGGACGCCGTCGCAATGCTATCGGGAATCAGCTTGCCGCTAGCGCTGAGTTCCTCGGCCTGCACGTCTCTGCTTTTCCCCGAGGAGGTTGCCGACCCAACAGCGGCGGCGAGGAGGGAGTACAGATCTGCAGCGGGGCTGGCGAGCGACGACGCCGCGCCTGCTGTGCCAGGGATGGTGAAGCGGGATAGCAGCGACTGGGCAAATCCCGCCGCACCGACTGCCTGTGGTGGGTGCGGGGAAGGCGCAGCAGCGGCTGCCATGGGAGGGAGGCCCAGGACCCTTTCACGAAGGAGGTTGATGGCTTTGTAGAGGTACTCCAGGCCGGCGGATTTGGCGCTGTCGTGGGTTTTGCTGATGAAGTGTTCGATGTCACGCTCGTGGCGGCAGAGGAATGGGTCGATGTATTCCCTGTAGAGCATTTTGGCGCCTTGGGTCTGTGGGAGGACAAGGTAGGAGAGGGCGAAGAGGCGAATCCAGCTGTAAAAGGGGAGCCTGTGTTTGGGGTAGGCGGGCATGGGTTAGTATTCACTTCACGCCGATGACAGCCAACTTAACTTTCGTGCTGGGCCTGGGGTTTTTCTGAGGCTTCCCCCAACATACCATCCTATAATGAAATAGGTCCAGGATTCAACCAGCAAGACTATAGACATGACAACCCAGTACATGAGCCATGGTGCTAATTGGGAGGGATCGGAGCTTCGGAGCGCTTTGTAGGACGCAAAGATGGGGAAGAGGATGGTGAGCACGGAGCTATATGTGAAGCGAAGCAGAATTCTCGGTCAGCATATTGATCGTGCTCGATAATAATAAAACTCCGCAAGGATGGGGGAGGATCTTCAGAGCTATATAGATGCTGGAAACCGAAGCGCCGCTGAAGGAAGTGACTCACGATAGTAAATCCGCAACGATGCCGAACATTGCAGGCAGATGACCAACCAGTCTAAACTAAGACCAAAGCAGAAGAGAAAAGCGAAAAGGAAAGAAAAGAAAAGAAAAGAAAAGATATCTAGTATACGACCCGAGCTCTTGCTGCAATAGATAGGCGGGCAGAACGGAAGCGGGAGGCTGTAATGTGCAGGTGGCTTGTGAAGAGCCGCAGAGAAATCGCTGCGAGATCACGGATGTCCCAGTGGCTTCTTTTGCTCGAGTGGATATCCTGGATATCTCGACACCGCACGGCAGGACAGCGCTGGCGGACGTTGCAGGTTCAAGTTGCTGCGGAGGTTATGCTGGGGAGAAGTGTGGGGAATGTGAGGGATGTGGACTATCGTTGTTCTACCTAACGTTGACTAAATAACTAGCTGTGGCCTCGGCGGCTTCGGGGCTGACGAAGGATAGATAGACAGACAAGACAGACAGACACTCCACCGTGATATACTCAATACATGCAAGACACAGCTGGCTACTGGGATCTACAGTACGAGCATCTGCACGTACCCAGCTGGGTGGCTGCCGTATTGTTTACGCAACCTGGCTTCTACAAGCGGGGCAGCTTTTTATCCAACAAGAACGCTCCGATCGGCCAGGTTAGAGAGTATTGCACGGAGTACAATTGTACGGATAACATCCTGAATGCAAGGTACATAGTGTCGAACGATGATGATATATCTGACATCGTGTAATGGCCACGAGGAGGCTGTTTATTTCCTAAGAACCTACTACTTAACTATCCTGGCCAGCTCTCGGTTGAATACTCGTATAGTTACTTACTTCCCCGATCGATCACACCCTGCAACCTCTCCCTAGGCTTGCTTTGGCAACCCTCGAGGTCATTCAGCGAGCGAACTGCAAATTTTCACTATAAAACCTCTGGAGAAACAGGGAGTGGGATTCCGCACCAAGCACTTTTGTCACATCATGTCCTAGACACTGTACATGTTTCAGAGCGGTTCTAGACCCCTTGACGGAATGGGGTTCTCTTGTGTTTCTAGAAGATGTCCCAAGCGGAATGAGAGAGATCAAACCGGCCCACATCTGTCTGTGGCACCTCCGCGACATATTCGAGCATTGGCACTATTCCAATCGAGGTGCTTTTGCGAAGGCAATTCATCAATTCCAGTGAACCGGAACGGAACTCAGACGGGAGACTAGACTACGCTCATGGCCTGGGCCGTAGAAGATGCCATCGGTCGTGTCTTGTCCACTCAGTTTTCTAACATCGCCCGCCACCTTGAGACGTGATAGTCGCTACCCGAGGGCAAGGCTAATGTGATCGAATACGATTTGAATCTGCCCCAAAAAAAAAAAAAAAAGACTCCCTATTATGATGTTTGTTGCTCACTTCCTTTGGCTCCTCTTAATCCTTAGGCTCAAGACATTACAGAATTTAAAGACATAAGCAGGCAGAGCCTGATAGAATGGACGAACAGCGAGACAGGACCTGATGGTGTACGCTGGCATGGCCTCAAAAGAAAGGCCTTTGTATGGCAAAAGCAAGGTTCTAGATAGCCGAGATCAGTACTGATAGTGAGACATTTCGCAGCTCCAGGGATGGAATTGCATCCTCCCTCTGACAAGGAACTCCCCTTCTCTCACATTCCAATCCATTGGGGAAGTACTGTACATACATGGAGAGTAGATACAGCAACTTGGCGTCTGCACGCAGCGTTATCGTGCCGTTTTTATTTTATTTTATTTTATTTTTTTTATATTAGTTGTGGTATGTATTGCGTCTTATCCAATAACTAAATAGAGAGAGAGAGAGAATTATTGACTATCTCATCATCGTGAGCTGGGGTTTGGGTATTTCATCATATGTGTTCACCATACTAAATAAATAGTACGCAATAAAACAGGAAACCACTTTGAAACCATCAAACCATCTGAAAATCAAAACCGTTACTTCCCCATCCAAGCGGGACTGCTTCCCATGTTCTACATCATAGAATGAGCCATTTCTTCTGAGGGGAGAATTCATTACTCCTCAACAAAAGTTCCAAAGAAGAAAAAAAAAAAAAAAAAAAAAAAAAAAAAGAGTTAGGTGGGGAATCTACAAAACATCGCCCACACCCCTCAACCCCCTCAGCGCTCCTCCTCAGAAGATGAGACTGACTCCTTCTCCGCATCCTCAAGACTCTGCGACTTGCCCAGAACAGGGTCACGGATCAGAAGAGCAAAGACAACCAACAACACACTGAGACAGATACCAGTGATGCACAGCAGTCGCTGGACGTGGCGGTAGGCATCAATGACACCATCGCGCACCGGCGTGCCGACCGGGTGAGCCGTGGCAAACCCAAATGGGTTGCCATATATTGTGCCCGCGTCGATTGCGTCCCCGACTCGATCCTGGATAGCGCCCGGGAGCACCTGGTTCCAGATCGCGCCCGAGATGGCGTTCCCGAGGGCACTGCCGATGTTGTAGCTTGCGAGGTACAAGCCGGTGATGACGGCCACGTCTAATATCAAGGT